ATAAATCTTATTTGACATGGAAACTTGATATAGGTTACAATACAGTGGGAGGAAACAGAAGAACCAAGGTAAAACCCATACTGTCAGACAGGTAACAAAATACCTTTTTCATGTTCCATCGGGAATCGAACCCTGATTGCCTATAGGAAAGGCAAGGTCATCATCCATCCGCAATCCGACCACCATATAGCTACGCATACAATTATTAGGCATGACCAGACGTGCAAATTGCTACTACAAGATCGGTACCTAAGGTCGCCCCAACCATGTATACTAGTACTTAATTGATTGGATTTCTTTGTAAGTGTCTCTGACTCACCCCGGATTGTCAAAATATACCGGATCAATGGTGTAGTTAAAAAGTTTTAATTATCTATATCTACCTCTCTATATTAATATCCTCTTCATTCTCCTCTCGGACATGCTCGTTGTTACACCGCCTGTATAAAATTGCGGTTTAAGATCGTCCAAGAGACCTCTGTGTAGCTAATGATTCGGAAGTATTAGTAATTCAGAGTGGCAGTTAAAGACAAGCACAAGGACCTCCCTTATTTACACCGAGTTCCGAAATAAATCGTTTTATTGATGGTTCGCCTAGTTGTCCAAGCAAGCTTAAATATCCAAGCTCCTGACTGCCGTTCTTGGTGTTATAACACAAGGGTCACAGCAATAGCTTGATACTGTTAACTCGAGAAGTGGAATTAATAGTATGCCGATTCCGAATTCCGAACAACTCAGACCATCCTCTTCTGACGGAAACTTATGATTTTAATCATTCTGTACACTGCAATATAGCCCATGCCAAGCCGAGGGAAAGAAGGAGACGAAGAAGAAGAAGAAACAAAAAAAGACATTTGGATCACGAAAGACGATGGAGCAATGAAGGAGTCATTCAAATGAATACCTTTGAAACTATTGTTCCTTTATCATCCTTGCAGATGAACGCATAACATATCCGTTATTGAGATTTGATTTTAAATGGAGAAGTAGCCTCAAATCACGGAAGAACTGAGGAAACGCATCCTCGTGGAAATATGTGTGAAAATGTCTATCACTTTTTCTTTGAATGCCAGCGTTATAATGTTCACAGAAATGTCCTTTTCCAACGCTTAAATGATATGAATTTATAAGTTCACTGTGACTTAGATCTGCTCCTTAATGGAAATGATCAACTGTGCCCTGAAACAAACTCTGAATTTTTTTTACGAGTCCAACATTTTATAAAACGTAGCAACAGGTTTTAAACCATGAAACTCTATTATAATTTTACTCCCAATGACGTCATCCCTTCTCTCTCTCCCTTCTCTTTAAAAATATATTTAGCCAATATTTATGTAAATTATTGATGACTTAATATTGTGATGTTTTTGTTTTGTAATGTATTGAGGAAAGGGCAACTATAAGTTGAAATAACATGTGCCCGATCCTTTTGTAATAATTTACAATAAAATATGTTTAATTCAAATCATCTGCAATACAAATATGGTTGAAAAGTTGCTAGAAAATCGAATGAAAACAAATCCAAAGGGTCTGATGCATTCCAAGGTTCTCAAAGAGTTACGAAAGAATTTAAGCGAGCCTTTGTCAATTATATTCAACAAATCATTATCAGGAGGGAAGCTGCCTCAAATATGGAAAGAAGCTAATATAACGATCATTTTAAAGAAAGGGTTGAAGTCGGATCCGGGAAAATATAGACCTGTTAGTCTTACTAGTATTGTGGTAAAAAGTTTGAAAAAAAATTAGTCAGGGATAGTATTGTAAACCACATGAACAAAAATGATTTATTAAGTTCTAAGCAGTTCGGCTTTATTTCTGGCAGGTCAACTCATTTGCAACTACTTACTGCTGGAAAAATGGACGGATGTAATTGACAATGGAGATCAGATGGGTGTAATATACATGAATTTTATGGAGGCATTTTATAAGATGCCACATCAACGTTTAATCACAAAACTCGCGCGCTACGGAATAAATTTACAAATCATCAACTGGATCAAAGACTGTCTGAGTAATAGATGCCAAAGAGTTAAAAATCTGTGATTAGCGGTCTCCCTCAAGGAAGTGTTTTGGGACCAATCCTATTTCTTCTTTATATCAATGACCTACCAGAAATATTTGTTTCTTCATCGCCTTTGTTTGCTGATGATACTAAATTATACCGACAAATAAGTAATCCTGGGGATGTAAAAATACTACAAGCAGATTTAGATTATTATCAAATTTGGTCGAAGAAATGAAGAAATGGCTATTACAATTTCATCCGAACAAGTGCAAAGTTATGGAAGTAAAGAAAGATGAAAAACGAAACTATTCTATGTGGGAAACAGAAGGTGGAGTTATTCAGTTTGAAAATATAACACGCGAAAAGGACCTTGGCGTCATAATAGACGAGGACTTGAAAACTCATATTCAGTCGATGGTGAACAAAGCGAACAGTATAATTTTGTTTATTTAAACAATTGTTTAAAGCTTTCGTCAGACCCCATTTGGAATATGCTGGACGTGTATGGAATCCATTCAAAATAGAGGATATCAATTTGATTGAAAATGTTCAGCGAAGAGCAACAAAGCTTCTTCCTGGTTTCAAGAACTTAACATATTCCCAACGTTTGGAGACACTCAATCTTCCAACACTTGTTCAGAGAAGAAAGGAGATTTGGTAAATGTTTATAAAATAGTAAAAAGTATATATGACAGCAGGGTAACTGGGAACTTTGTTTAGATGGACACTCTCAGTAGAACCAGAGGCCATTCTTTGAAGTTCTATAAAAAACGAAGTCGACTTGAAAGCGGGAAGAATTTTTTCACATACAGGGTGGTAGATCCTTGGAACAATTTGCCGCAATATGTCATTAATGTCCACACTATTATAGAATTTGAGAAGCTGCTTGATGAACTCTGGAAAGATAATCGTTTCTATTATAATTTATGAATCACAAACCTTGCTTAAGCCATTACACCGAACTGTTATTACTTTTATTTGCATATGTTTATATTTAATATGGATATAGAGTTTTTTTTAGAAAGTCTGCATCCATAATTTATCCTATAATCCAATAATCCTTTCTCAGATACCTAATGCACATTGGAAATGTTTTTATTGCATTTTATATACGTTATTTTCTTGCGTTTTTTACATGGTGTCATGCGTCCTTAAAACACTCAAATGACCCAGACATAGCATGGTCGTGAATGCGCTTGTATTTCCGGGAGCGGCTGATTTGATTTTCGTAAACAGTAATTTCATCGTACAGTTGTATTCATAAGGTCTGGAGTTTGTGGATTACGCGTCTATTGAACAAGAACGGTACAACATCAAACACTCAATTTTTCAAAACATAGTTGGTCTTGAAATGAAAATAACGTCAGAATATATGAAAAATGGAATTACAAGTTACAAAAAATCTGTTCTGTAGAACACAGCTGTGGCCTCTAGATAAATATGTTCAATTTCGCGATTGACACTAGCAAAGTGACCTGTAAGTTAAAGGCCAACTGTGCTCTCAACTAAAGTTTGTTAGCAATTTTGTTACTGTTACTGATTGTTGAACTCGAAGCTATTTCTGTTTTTGGATCCGTCGCGAATGGCTGATTATACCTGCTCGTCAATTTACCCAATACAACCCAATACAAACGTCAATTTACCCAATACAACCTATGATACAAATGATGATTTACCCATTACCACCCAATACAAATGTTTATTTACCTATTACCACCCAATACAAATGTTTATTTACCTATTACCACCCAATACAAATGTTTATTTACCTATTACCACCCAATACAAATGTTTATTTACCTATTACCACCCAATACAAATGATGATTTACCCATTACCTCCAATACAATCTCATACAAATGTCGACTTACCCAGTATAAAGTTAGATTTACCCAATACAAACACAAACTTGGATATAGAGACCACATGGTCAGTGTCTTAAAATATCAGCTGTATTTGGTCCCAAACCAAAATGCAGCTGATCTTTTAAGACACTGACCATGTATTATACTTATCTTGCAACATTTTCTGAAAATCAGACTACTGAAACAGATTTTTGTTCAATCTGTGTGTACCTGACATTTATGTTATGCTGAATTTTGCCTGATGACGTATGCAAAATAATTGCTCTGTGTGGAAACATGGTTCCATACTTCAAGGCATATAACAGTGGTTTTATGAATTTTCATAAATCAACTTATTCATTACAACACGAAAAAACCACCTATTTCAACAACTTTTTACATTTCTAAATGTAATATTTAAGTAACTTCAGCACAGCTGTTTTTTTCCATTACTGCCTAATACAGCAAAAATATATGTGGCAGTGCCAGTTGCAGGATAAATAGATCTATCTCTACATTTATACAAGTCTGTGACACAAGTAATGATTAATGTTTCTGTTTTAGGGAGCCATACTCTGTACAAAAAGCTTTTTTTCAACATTGTCATCTTCTAGACTAACTTCATACAGTCATTGACTATAAATTATATAAAGAACTACATATAAGTCAGGAACGAGATAATTTATCATTAAGGTTATCGTTTTCAATATAGCTCTTTATCAATATACATATTTGACATTCTACTTTTTGCTAACATCAAACAACCCTAACACGTATATCTAATAACTAGTTATGTCTTTTGGAAAGCCAATGGAAATTATGGTTACACACCTGTTTCATTTAGCTATATAGTGACATATATTCAGTGTCCTTTTGCTCATGTTTGATAGGTCCACCAATTATGCTGTTCATATGTATTGGTATGTCTAATGTGAATGGAAGCAAGCCAGGATATGTTTAAAAAAATCCAAAAGAACACCAAATTAAATATCAGAGATTTTTACCTTCTAATTCATAATGTCTGCCATAGATAACATGCAAAGAATGACAAATCTGTAAGTTCATGCTTGGCAATCTGTTGTATGTTGTAGGTCTATAAATATTTTCCTTCACATGTGCTCTTCACTTTTTTATATGATTGCAGTGATTCAATGCCAGTGAGCCGACATTTGGTATTAGCTACTGTTACTGGTTTCCCTGACACACAATTTATCTACCCTTGTTGTCTCTGTTGCTATACGAAGCTATTGAAGGATCAAAACAAAGATTGGTAAGTATACATGTCATAAAGCCGCATTTATATTTAAGATCTGATATATGATTCAGATTTGTTAAAACACTCAAACTACTTATTGCTTATAAGTTCCTGGCCATGGGATAAACGCTGACAAATTTGTAAAAAGAAACTACCTTGACCCTTAACCATGGTCACAGGACAAATCTGTTAAAATGCTCAGATTAACAGAAAGGTCTAGAATCATGGTACATTGTAATTTGTTAAAAGACTCTAATTGCTTCAGTTAACTATTAATTGTATTGATTGAAGTCAACCACTACATTATCCATCAGTTGTTGACAAATGTCTATGTTGCTGTATAAGCATGCTTGTTTCAAAATTAATTTATAGATTTGATATATACACACTTTGAATTTCAATGATGCATGATACAAGTGTATATTTTTGTGAATAACATTGCTTACAGGCCTCTTGTTAAAAATTTCAAGGTTACCAAGAAGTATTGTTTTTTCATAAAAAGTTAAAAAAGAGAAAGAGGTTTCAAGTTGTGCAGATCAAATTGGAACTGGAATAAACTAATTTAGGGAATTATCAGTGGGTGACAATTTTTTGAAATTGTACTTCCTTAATGTATAGGTATTGGCAAAAAAAACCCCAACCAAATGTGACATGGGATATCCTTTAATGAACCATTGTTGTAGATTTTAGGAGTCATAAAGGTACACAATCATAGGAATGAAGGGAATGAAAATACTAAATATTCAAAAGTCTGTCTTCTTTTTCTCTATTGTATTAAATTTTAACCAATTTGTTGTGGAAGAGGGGGAAGCCCCATCTCAATCTAATCAAAACTACTTACTTCTCACTTCCATTCTGTTGCTTTAATTCCTTCAGGATCCCTTGGGGAAGAAATAGAGTTTATCATTTTAAATATTTTTTTTCTTTCTTTATTGACTTAATAGCTGGTTGTGCTGTAAATGTGGGCAGTCCTGCAGGAGTGACGAGGTGGAATGGCGTTACCGTTTAGCTCTGACCATTACAGATGGGGACATCATTGCCAGTGTCTGTTTGTTTGGGAGCATGTTAAACCAGTTCTTTGGTACCACTGCTACACAGTTTAAAAGGTTTTTCTTCATACTGAAACATTTTACGCTATTCTGCACATTTTGTTCTTCATGGAAAAATAAGTGCTTATGTAGACCGAATTTGCTTATAAATAAACTTTAAATATCCATGATGAATGAGAAAAAATTAGTGCTTATGTAATTCTTTGTGCTGAGAGTCAATCTGGATTTTAAAAATTTTCGAATTCCATTTAATAAGTAGAATTGTGACAGGAATAAGTGATAATACATATACTATTATTTTGTTTCCTAGGTACATTGACAGACTTAAATCATCATGTGATCGCTCTGACCAAATGCTGAAGCAAGCTGTAGAGCAGTCCTTCATTGGTCACACCTATTACTTTGGCTTCAAGACGACAGGTACCATCAACAGACAAGGTCCCAATGTCACTCTCAGACAGATTGTTGGCAATTTAGAACCAAAATGTCAGATGTCTCATGAAAATCTCTCTCATATTGTTGCCTTTCAGATCTTACCATCTACATCTGCAACCCAGACAACTGTTCTAGAGCTCATGCATGTAGATTTACAAAACAAATCATCACATTTGACTGAAAGATCATCATTTCAATACGGAGGGGCACTTTTGATCAAGGAACAAGAAAATACTCCTGTTAAATATCATGGAACAAGGAATGACCCATGTACAATTTCTTGGGATGGTCGCAGATCTGGCCACAGTGATAACACTTCTACTCTTTCTCCAAGTTATATCTCGGCATGTAATTCATCATTTGGCCAGGAGACAGCACTTCTTAGTTGTGATATGTCGCAGTCGGTTAGTCATATTTCTTGTGCGAACTTGTCACAGCATAACAGTAAAACTACATACAATGAAAATTTAACCAAGGGTCATCATCATGAATTTGATACTCTTGGTAAAGTTGAAACTGACCACAGCCCTTCAGGTAGAAATATTTGTGCTGAAAATGCTCCAGACTTTCTGTTTACAGACAAATCATCTTCATTTTCATTATCATTTGGTAAACAGGGAACATCAACTTCTCCTGAACTTGCAGAGTTACGATCACATAGACTCGACAGTTCTGGATATAGCTCATTGTTAAAAAGTTCAGCGAGTCTGGAAGGAAACTCCAAAGAGATGTTAGTGATGAACAAAGAAAATACCACAGATGAAAAAAGTTGTTTAAAGATGGAAGTAGAAAAGGAGAGTGATCCTTTTACTGGATCCCTGAACAGCAGTTCTGTTTTACTGGCCTGTAACATTTTTGCAACCAAGACTGAACCTTTGGTACAATCAGATTATTATGATAGAAGATCAGCAAGAAGCATGCATCTAATCTCAAAAAATCATAATCGGACCTCAAAGTCGCCTTTAGCAAATATAAGCAATCTGTCAAATAAATGCAAGGACCGTTTCCAAGGGAACTTCAATACAGAAAACGGAATTAAGGACAGATTTGAAAAAATCACATCCAGTAAAACAAGCAGGAATACACAACAGAAATGTGATAACAGAGATAGCATGTTTAGTAAAGAAAGCACTTCAGATCAACAAATAATGACTGATAGTGTTGTAGGGTCAGTAGAGAAAATAAAAACATCCAGACTGATCATGACAAATGATGATCAAGATACAGTTGGAATTGAAGAGATACCTATTTTAGTTGCAGACCAAATACACAATAATAATCATCGCACAGTATTTCCAGAATCTGAGGACATGTGGGCATACCTGACTGATGAAGAAGACTTTGATAATGTAGGAACCATGGGAAAGTCACTAACTAAAATACAATCAAAGGGAGATAATTACATCACTGGAAAATTGAGTATCAATGTTTACAAAAACAAAAGGACAGATTCACCGGAGGAAGATTCCGATGAAACATTTGCAGAATGTTTTGATCCTGAATTTTTAGATTTGGTTGACTATGCTACAGATGTTGAAGTCAATTCGAATAAGATGGCTTCTTATTCAAAAGAAAACATTGGTGGAAAAACTTACTGTTCTCATGAAGAAATTGAAACTGCAGGAAGGCTAGATTCTAATTACTATATTAATAAAGACCCACAAAATTCAGGGGAAGACGTCAACATTGAAGCACATCATTCTACAGAAAAGATTGATACTGATAAACAAAATTTCAATGAAAAGAGTGACATTGGCAAACACAATAATGATAAAGAAGTTGACTCAAGGACTAATGATTCTGATGAATACCCTTACTCTGGTTCACGGCACTCTGTTGTAAATAATGACATCAAGAACTCGGATGGAGACGTAAATATAGTTACACAAAATTGTTATGATGAAATCAGCTCTGTAGAAACAAGCAATATTGACAATAAGACAGACAGGCCAGGTACAGATGATTCTGATGAAGTACTTCACACTGCAGGAACATTTAATAGTAATGAAGAAAAAAACAATGAGGATATAAGTGATTCTCAAGAAAATGGAGTGGTGCTTTTAACCTCCTCGAAAACTTTTACAACAATTTCATCTGTCCCTGAGAAACATCCATCCGATGCAATGTTAGACAACCCTGAGTCAGTAATCAATCCAATTGGAAGACTTGAATCTTTGCCTGATTCTGAGGATCTGTATGCATTTCTGGACAGTACATTTAGTGATGTGACAGAAGAGCTAAGTTTGAAGACTACTGCTCTTACCTATGTTCTTCCTGAAATGACTGAAGGGAAAGGTGAACACATAACTGAAAAGGGAGAGATAAGTGAAGATTTTAGTAAAAAGAAAGTCCAGGATATCAAAGCAACTCCTCAAATCAATAACGACAGCAAAGATTGTTGTCATAATCTCAATGATTTGAACTTTGAAGGTGAAATTGAGAATGTGAGGACATCCGGATTTAAAAAGGATACTAAAGGAGGAAATGTTTGTGTCCTGCCGTCAAGTGATGAAACTATAGAACAGATGGAGGATATTTTTGAGGAATCTTTTGATGGAGAAGAAACAAGAAATGAAGAAAATGTACATTCCTGCAGCCAGGAAACCATACATATACAGTGTCACCCACATGAAACTGACTCTATCAAAAACAAAACTTTGCAATCTGCCTCAAAATCCTGTCAGCAATATTCTTATTCAGAAAAGAACAAGTTTCTTTTCATGGAAGAAACAGCTGATTCTTCTTGTGGCAGTGCTAATATATCAAAGTGTGCCTCTGGATTAAGGGACAAAGTTAGCAATTATACCCATCACAATACAAAGAACACCCATCATGGAACAGATAGCTCCCATCATGAAACCAAGGACTGGATTTACTATCAAGAATGTCAAGATCCTAACGATCAAGATCCTTGTAGTAATCCTATTCACGATAATCACAGTCAAGATCTTCAGGGTAACGGTACATGTAAACGTCCCGATGATCAAGATTCTTCTGGCAGCTGTCTGAGTCAAGATCAACGCTGTGTGTCAGAAGGATTGTCTTCAAGCTTCAATACATCAACAGATCTTTTCGGAAGCTCAGACAATGATAGTGTTGCACTATGTAATGATACCTACTCACAGTTGTCAACTTATAGCAGTACTGAAATTGTTCCAAACATAGCTCAAGGGGAGACAACTAGCTCAGGTGTTAATAGCCCAGTAAAGGATAAAGAACAAGAAAAAGTAAAAAGTGTCCAATTTGCTAGAAGATTGAGCTCTGTAAAATCTATACAGTTAATTGACATTGAAATGACAATGCGTCAAAATCCAGAGCTGAAACTTTTTGTGAAACCAAAGCCATGTCTAAAGATACAAGTGGCATCCCCTTGCTCACCACTATGTTTGAAATATGATAAAAAAATCCCGAAAATGTCAAAAGTGTACAGTATTAAAAAACAAGAAAAACCAGAGTCACAGGATTTATTTTCATGTTCTGCAATATCTGAAAAATCCTGTGATGTCACAAATCAAGTGTCTGTCTTGAGTATGCCTGAACATTTGGTTAATGTGTTCATTCCTGATGAGGCTGGAATGCCTGGAACCCAGGACCTCTTCACTCCCAGTCCTGTGCAAATGTCTGACAGTGCAAGCTCCGATTTCATACTGGGAAGTGCTAGTTATAACAGACTGAATAAAAAGTTCAAATTTCCTACATGGAAATCTTCACATTGTCAAACATTTGTGTCTACACCTCTTGATAGTTATAGTGAAAAATTGTGTTCTATGGATAAAGAACTACCTAGACACATGTCTCAACATTTATCACACAGTCATGGAAATTCTACAGTTCAAACATCTGCCTCTTTATTTCTAGACAGCTTTAATGAATTGCATGTTATAAATACTTCAGAACATGCATTAGAAAATCCTAGCTCACAGGAAAATTATTCACAGAGAACAGCAAGTAGCAGTAAAAGGAAAGACATGAGCCCTGTACTTATGGAGTTTACTGACCAGGTCAAGGGAGATAACCACATACCAACAGGGGACATAACTCTTGACACAGGGTCACCTGACTTGTTTGGAACTTCAAATATTTCTGCTTGTATAAGTAGTGTCAGATCAGAAAGAAAAGTTAAAAGTGTGACTGTTGCCAAAAGTTTTACTTTTCCAGTAAAAAGACTTTTCTTAGATTGATCGATATTATTTCCTTCAAATGCAAACTCAACAAAGTCAGTAAAAAGTGATTGATATACTTACATGTTTCCTTATAATTCTTATGCATCTCCCTAATTAAGTTTGATTATGTACATTGTTGGATGATTTATAAAGAAAACATTTTATCCAAAAATGTACTGGACAATATCAACCTAAGACTATATTATCAGCTCAAAATTTAAAATGAAGTTTTGTCCTTCATGTCATGATTCCATAATTTAAAATGCATCTTTGGTCTTACTAGTAAATAAGCCATAATAATGAACTATCTTTTGTAATGTACAAGTATTGGTTTTTCACATAGATGTAATCCACCCACACAATGACATTCATGGTTTATGTTTTGAAATGCAATGTTTCCTACTTGAATTCCATTTTGGGTGAATGACAGTTAGTAAGATGCATATATATCTTAAAATACATATACTTAGTTGTGTTAATGGTAACTTCTTCTAACATGATGGTGTTGTTCGTGTAACAGCTTAACTTATGTGGCAAGTTCCGATGGATTCTGACAAATTATGAATAATGTATATGGAATGTTGAGTTCTGGGCTGTGTGCAATGAATTCATTTTATACAGGTATAACATTGATTTGAAAACTATTTTACTTTTTCATCTTTAAATGTACATTACGACTTACGAAAATTATGCTAGCTAGAAATTTGATGTTTTCATAATGTATAAGTGCAATTACCTGTACATATGTGTATAATATTATCACTGATGTAGTAAATATATTTGACAAGTATTTAGATCGTTTGTCTTCAGAGTTGAAATTCATCAGTGCATGGTTTATCAACAAGGTGCAATATAAAAGTTTCTTGATAACAATTCAAAACAAAACACACACTGTCGTTCAATCAAAATATTACATCTTCATTTAATTTATGCATGTCATTCACAAGTTAGCCAAAACATGTACAATTCTATTTAGTAAATCATTTCTGAAATCGTCCTTGCTTGCAATCAACATAACAGATTATTTTGAATTTTAAAACATTTTATGAAAATTAGCACCAATATATACAATATATTGTTTCATTTTATGAAATCATCATGTAACTTTTCAAATAGATGCCATGTTGGATGATTTTAAAAGTAACCATAGTGATTATGATTTTATAGATTATAAAATGTAGATACATCCTCCATGGGGAAGGTCATCATTATCAATACATACTTACACATTATGATGAATTTCGATGTGTTTTTATTCCATCTTTAAACAGTAGAACCCAATATGACAGTCATTCATTGTAGAATGAAATTTCCAAAATTCAGTATATTGTTCTTGTTGCAAGTCTCTTGCTCATTCTGGATATGGTTACTAAAGATATTAATTGTTCGTATTAAGACTCAAAAGAGCCGAGTTCATGACAAAAGGATATACATGTAAATATTATTTTGATTAAGAATACAATTCTTTTGTACCAATTCATTTATTGTGGATATCAACAGGTTACATTGCACCATGTCAACACAAAATTATTTCATCTTTTCTATGTTGTGTGTATTTTGTAATACATTTACACTTAATGTGAAGAAACCTATAGTCACTTATTTCCAACAAAACATTTACAATCTCCAACAACTGGTCACTCCAGGGGTTACTTTCACTTCTGCTCTCAAGGTCATTGATATGAACAAACTTAGTAGCCCATTATCCCATCATGCCACAGGCCTAATGACAGTGTGTTGAGCTTTCTAGTTATTGTGAAGAAGTCATTTGAATGGGACGTTTAAGTATGGCGGACGGCGACGTTAGACGAAAAAAATGATGGCTATAACATCTTCTCAATAACCAAAAGGCCTAGAGTGCGAATATTGGGCCAGTAGCATGTTGGGATGAAGGTCTATCAGGTTTGTTCAAATGAATGACCTTGACCTTTATTCAAATATGCTAAACTACAACAGGGAATGTTATCAGTTGTTTAAAAATGAAGCCTTCAAAATCAGAAACAATGAAAACTTTGTAAGTATGCATATTTCAGTTTTGTTCTGCCAGTCCAAATGCTGGGACTTATGGACAGGTTCTAAAACTTTCCAAAGACCTGAAAACTCAAATGACCGTAATGGCCCAATGGTCACTTGCTTTTTTTCTTCGCCATTACAGGTGGAAACATTGAAGTTTGACTGTTATTGATTTATGATAAAATTAGACAGTGGCTACATTAAAGGCCTTTGCATTGACTCTCACGAAAAAAATTTTCTCTGTTTTTTACTTTTGAAGAATCATACTGACCCCAAAATTTAGAGCCAAATACCTGGTGCTTTGAATGATTTTTGAGAATAATGTCTCAATGAAATGTGGTTCAAAAATCATCTTCTGAACAGTCGACAGTTTCCTCTGCTTACTTCTGTTCTCAGTGTTGGCCATTTTTTATTGTACAGTTAATATCATAAATATTTGTTGTTGAATTTGACACATCAGAAATTTGGGTATGGACTATTTTAAATTGTTGAGTTTGAAAAACAAGTGTCCAATTTACAATCCCTTTAATGATTTCTGACCTATCTCAGTATCTCCAGAGTTGGTAGAATATAACATCCCATGTTCAAATCTTGTGACCCACTGTACAAGTGGTAGTAATGACTTACAGAGTTATGGCCCTTTACTCTGTTTTAATGTAACATCTGCAGAAACTAAGGTATGCTAGCACCTCATGTGCAGAAATCAGGTTGTGTATACATCTACATCTAGCAAGAAGCAGTTGGTAATAAGTTAAATTAATTTATTTCTCTCTACAGTTCTGCACAAATGCCAACAAATATTTTTCATTGCCCTGTAGAGTGGAAATAAAGCAACACTCCAACATAGACAATTTTTGTTTAGCTTCATATTCAATTTATTTCTTAAAAGAAAAAATTCTTTTTATTTTCAAAATTGTAGTGTACTGAAATTATCTATATCTATATTATTATCTATATCAGATCTGAATTATGTGTTGAGGCCATATATAATCTTGTTACTGTGAGATTTGGACTTGTCTGCTGAAAAGTACTAGTAGTGTAATAAAGCTGTTGAATTAATAAAGATTCAGGTTTTGCTTTTTCCACAAAACTAAGCCTTAAATCCCATTTTTTTCAACTTGAAGACTACTTTGGACTGTTGTATGATTTTAATTACTTTCTCAGTGGTTCTGTGAATAGAAATCAAGCATTCAAGGTTATGAGAAGGATTTTGTGAACATGATACCAAGTATCATGCCTTTTATATACACAGTTATTGCCCTTTATTCATTTGATCTTGCCTGAAAGAAGGGAAATGTGGGTTTTTTCAGTACTCTGCCTTGTTGTTTGTAAGTTTAAGTGATTCAATACCTTCAAACTATAAAGAAACCAATCACACAAAGTTCAGCAGTAAAATTAATACTGATTTCAGGAATATTGACTAAATCAAAGAGATAGTGTATACTTTTGATGTATTAATATCCAACCATGGTTAAGATGAAATGAAAGAAATAACATTCATATGGTTCACAAACCAACAGTCTCTACTGTTTATTATTATGCATTTTTTATTTAAACAATATGTAATAACAATGAAAAATCATTTAAATTACAACTTTTGATAAATAAGAAAAATATACAATCAAATAACACTACAGCAACCCATTCATTCAGATATGTATTTTCTGAAAACAGAACAATTTCAAATATGCAATCGGTGATATAAACAGAACACGTGACCTAGTTGTAACACTAGATTGTGTTCACAAATCCTACATCTAGTATATTTAAACGTGAAATTGTTCCAGGTTATAAAGATGGGTTGATAAATGTATATTGATCTTTTATATTCATGTACTGTAAGTATAGAGGTCATTTAAATTTCTGTTGTTTAGAAAAAAAAATTTGTGGACCAAGACATTGTGAACAATGGTGCCATAATGCATTCTGACGTTACAGGTGAACTTTTAAAATCTGCAGGTGTGTTTTAATTGTTATAGGATAGTATGATGGATAGTGGTAACCTATTGGTTGTCACTTTGAATTTTAAAAGGACAAAGTTAAATATTAAGTTTCTCATGCCTCAGTATATATGGAAACATTCACTGCTGTTCCACTTAACTTGTTTCACCCCTTTGACAAATAGGCAAAATTTAAGGTGGGCTAATGGTGCTTTTCCTGACCATTCTTTGGGGCAAAATATGGGCCACATTCTCCCTTAGATACATTTCAAAATATGACCAAATTTACACAATAAATAGTTAATTCCTTGAAATTTCCTTCCAAATTTATCAATTTTCTTCTCAAAACGACATAAAAAGGTCCTTTCTGAAATGAGTGGGGAAAAAGCCCTTGCCGAGTTTAATGGTAAAGATGAAATTGACGTTCTTACTACTTCAGGGCAAATTTTACACATAGAAAAAATGAAATGTTTTATACAAAGGTGAAATATACCCTTGTGGTTTTTCCCAGTTAAAGTTTATATATCAAGAACAATTGTGGACTTTTTTGAAAGTTCTACAATGTTATCAAAAATAAATACTGGTACCTCATACATCTTTTCAAAAATCTATCAGTAGGTTTTCCTGATTTTGAATTTTTCAATTCATTTTCACTATTGCAAACAATTGCATATATGCACATTAAATTGTGGTTACAACATACATTAAATCATGGTGTAGTTAATAATTCAAGAAAATATTTGAATATGTATTTTTGAATGTAATTATAGTTAATATACCTGCAAATGACCTTCTGCCAGAGGGTTATCTTGCAATTACAATATTCAGGAAACACTTTATGATCTACATTCACATACAGTCATTACCAACAACGTTTTTTAGGCCATCTTAATAAGGTATCCATGGAGGTATATTAAGCAAGAAATGTTATACAATGGAGGAAACAGCCAAAACATGACATGGCTAGTAATAGCATTGGGAGACCTCTTGCAATGAAAGTATCATCATTACATTGAATGTCTCTTAATACTGTTGTACTGGGGCAATGGCTGACATCAGCTTATCACGGGAGTAAGCTTGCCCCAGTCTATAAAATCTCAAATGATTATGGTCTCCTTCGGCTAAGGGGAAATAACCATGTACAGAAACTTTGTAATGGGAAGCCAGTCTTTACTAGTATGTGTTTACTGGAAGTGCTGATAGTCACATGATTGGCAAAAATGACTAGACAATAATTCATGTAAGAATAGATGACAATATATGCCGGGTGTCAAAGGTTTTATGTGAATTATTCCATTCTTTAGGAACACAGCACAGTGACAGAAATAAATATCTATGTAATTTATCAATCAATGAGGCCTCAGAGCCCACTTATTTGTCTACAGAGAAAGTAACTTAAAAAGAAAATGTAGCAATAACTGTCTTTGAACAAAGAAAAAATTCCATTAAAATTAGATAAAAAAACATACAGAGGAATAAGATGTTAAATAAAACCATTAAGGTATGATTTGATAACATAACTTAAAACTGCATGCTACCACATTGTGGGACCTTGTTAATATGATCTGAGTAGATAGAAAAATACATCATTTATTTTCTGTATATAAAGTACAGGTAAGTATTCAATCTTCCTTATGTAGTGTATAAACATGTATACATAATAAGAGATATAGAAAATCAAAGTCACTTTTGATCATTCGACTATTATCAGGACATATTATTGTATCTTTTTCTGTATTTGTCTTATTTTTCAACTTTTGATGTCATCTGAATACAAAAATTGTTAAATAGTAAAAACATCTTGACTGCACACAAATCCAGTTCCTTACATGTTTATCATCTATATCAACATTTCATCTGGTAAAAAGATGTTTCCAATCTATTGGATTAAAGCTTTGTTCATTACAAAGTATATCATCACGTCCACTGGGATTTGGTCCCTTGGTTCCTATATGTATTTCTGGTATAAATATAAGTTATACATCTATACAGACCATGTGATTGGCTCCAAGCCTCTTGTGATAAAGTTCATGATAAATTAAATCATAGAATCCAACTCTTATTTATAAAATATATCATCAGTAAATATGTTAAAAAATACAATCAACACATATATTACACTACATCTAAGTAAATCTATACACATCACAAAACAAACATACTGCTTACACTCCTATCAAAACCTCACTATTTCATCGGCCTAAGTCAATGCGGTCTTTGGACAAAACGTAATACAAAATAGCCAGCTATTCTAAATGCAATGATGAAAATGAACAGAGGTAGTAGATACTTCCAAAATGGCCAGTCAATCCCGAAGAATTGTAGTACTTCCTGAGAAGGTATTGTTGTAACATTGTGGTGAAGACAACTGGAGAATTGTGATTCAGATATGTTGGTACTGGAGGCACATCTGTAATAACATAATTTCTCATATTAAAAAAAATGTTCACGAGATCAGTTGAAAATTCACAAAACTTTCTAATTTGTTGAAATAGCAAACACAAGGTCATGTTTATTCATGTAGCAAGACTGAACTCATATGGATTTGTAGAGGCTCATCAAAAGCAAAATGGAAAAGGATGTATATAAGTTGTTTAACTTGTTTCCAATTCCAATTCCTCTGTATACTTTGCTATGTATTATTCGCATGTTGTTATGGAATAAAAATAAAGTTTATATTATCAAAAGCAGAATAAGATCAGAAGCATAAACTACCCCTCTAACCTCCACTATCATCTACAATACTTATAATATAAAAGAGAAGCACAAACTTCTGAAGACAGGTATACCAACACTACTTATAAGAGACCTCTGTATATCCTGAAGCCTAGAAGATGAGACTCCACATATGTATAAAGTTAGACGGATGGTGGTTCTTCTGAAATTTCTCCAACTGGAGATTTCCTTGTTTGTTCCCTATACTTGTAAATATAAGAATATGTGTAGCCATTCAGGAGGAGTAGACTTTTGAAGACTAAATGGTTGTGTTATAAATGAATGTCCAATGACTAGTACATAAAGAGTCAGTTATAAAGGTACAATATACTTTGTTTTGTTTACATCCTGTAGATTGAAAAGGAATCAATAGCTATTACTTACAAAACTGGTAGTGCATCTGTGAACTCTAATGACATCAGACAATGGAAAGTGTAGTAGAGAAAAGATATGTATTTCAACCAAGACAGCCAAAATGGTAGATGACGAGTATAGAAACCACCTGAATGAAAAATTCAACAAAGTATACATGTTAAAAGTTTTAAACGTTTTGTTTTTCAAAGTCATCAAAAGTCACAGTCTTTGTTTTCAATAGTTTATAAAAAACAATCTATAATTTTGTACTATTTGAAGCAGTTCCATGATTTTTTTCTTTTTCAATTTTCATTTTTTTTTTCAATAGATCTGTAGGTCAAACTACCAGACATTACATGTGCACAATAAAAGCAGTTATAGTTATTTAAGCCTGAAAAATTAAGGCATTGAATAGTTCAAAGTGTTAACACGTTACAGATACAGGTATGTGGGAGACAAAACAACAATTACTGACCACCATTTTTTAATTGGTGTTTTTTAATTAAAATAAGATGTTTGCTTTATTTTTCGGGTATAAAACTTCTGAGACTTCTGATTTTGACAGGCAATATACACCCATATAAAGGACTAATAAAAGGTGGCCTTTCACTTAAATATGTAGCTGTATGTTTTAGTAGCATGCCAAAAATCTGTTGTATTTACCTTTAAAATGATTCAACCATGTGACTAGTGGAGTGGGTCAGAATCATCAGTTAAATGATAATAACACTTAGCTTCATTGTTTTAAATAAGTCAAAAACAAAAGTTGAATATGAAGGGATTTTTGTTCACATTTGGGTGCTGCTAGATGCAACTGTCATCATTTGATTAATCCCATCATATATCAAGATATCAAAAGTTTTGTGATGAGTCAGGATACCATACCTAATAGCATAGTTGTCATAATACACACTGTAGCAATGGTCATTGCCCTCCTGATGTCCATACAGGCAATACCAAGGAACAGGCCTATACTCTGTAATAGAATTAATGATTGTTACATAATAAAATTACCAATGTGAAGGACATTAATGCAGTTGAATAATATTTATTTAAATTTAAAAAGAAAAACAGATTTATGCTAAAATCTTAAATTCAGAATTGAATGAAGTATATAGAAATTATTGATCTGAAAGATGATTTTGTTTGTGAATGTGTATAACCTTGAATGTCACTGTATGTAGGTATACATATAGGGGTATGTGTATAACCTTGAATGTCACTGTATGTAGGTATACATATAGGGGTATGTGTATAACCTTGGAATGTCACTGTATGTAGGTATACATACAGGGGTATGTGTATAACCTTGAACGTCACTGTATGTAGGTATACATATAGGTGTATGTGTATAACCTTGAACGTCACTGTATGTAGGTATACATATAGGTGTATGTGTATAACCTTGAATGTCACTGTATGTAGGTATACATATAGGTGTATGTGTATAACCTTGAATGTCACTGTATGTAGGTATACATACAGGGGTATGTGTATAACCTTGGAATGTCACTGTATGTAGGTATACATATAGGTGTATGTGTATAACCTTGAATGTCACTGTATGTAGGTATACATATAGGTGTATGTGTATAACCTTGAATGTCACTGTATGTAGGTATACATATAGGTGTATGTGTATAACCTTGAATGTCACTGTATGTAGGTATACATATAGGGGTATGTGTATAACCTTGGAATGTCACTGTATGTAGGTATACATATAGGTGTATGTGTATAACCTTGAATGTCACTGTATGTAGGTATACATATAGGGGTATGTGTATAACCTTGGAATGTCACTGTATGTAGGTATACATACAGGGGTATGTGTATAACCTTGAATGTCACTGTATGTAGGTATACAGTATGTGTATAACCTTGAATGTCACTGTATGTAGGTATACATACAGGGGTATGTGTATAACCTTGAATGTCACTGTATGTAGGTATACATACAGGGGTATGTGTATAACCTTGAATGTCACTGTATGTAGGTATACAGTATGTGTATAACCTTGAATGTCACTGTATATAGGTATACAGTATGTGTATAACCTTGAATGTCACTGTATGTAGGTATACAGTATGTGTATAACCTTGAATGTCACTGTATGTAGGTATACAGTATGTGTATAACCTTGAATGTCACTGTATGTAGGTATACAGTATGTGTATAACCTTGAATGTCACTGTATGTAGGTATACAGTATGTGTATAACCTTGAATGTCACTGTATGTAGGTATACAGTATGTGTATAACCTTGAATGTCACTGTATGTAGGTATACAGTATGTGTATAACCTTGGAATGTCACTGTATGTAGGTATACAGTATGTGTATAACCTTGGAATGTCACTGTATGTAGGTATACATATAGGGGTATGTTAATGATTGTCAATTTTGTTGATTGACACAGTTTAGTAAAATGATGAAAATCTTCAGATTGTAGTAAACATTTCTTTTTACAAAAAAATCATGAAAATCATCATCTTGTAACCAAAATTTCAAAACACTCAGCAAATTATTGTAATTACTATAAAAACTAACAATTTTTATGAAAGAAATTTGATCAAGATCCTTTGCATGTTCTGATTATTTTCCTACATACCTGCCCTGCTATAGAATGAATGAAGAGAGTGCCAATGGTAGCAAAGTATGCAGACACCCCATTAAGACCAACAGACCAATATACAATTGTTCCAAACACGAGTGGTTGTGCTAGGATTAATGGAAGTTCACTGGTCATCTTGGCTAGGTAATAGGCTGATACACGATACCATCCTGATGCACGCTCCTTGTTGATCACCAAACGCTCAGACGGGACTGAAATAAAGTATTCTCTGTACAAATGCTTGATAAGATGGAGATGTTGGTGTAAAGTCTATCCTGCAATAAGCCCAAGAGGCCAATACATAACATCTGAATCAAAGCAGAGGAGGTTGACATATTATAGGACAATAAGGCAAGAGGGCCAATACTTAATATCTGACTCAAAGTAGAGGGGGTCGGCTTATTATAGGACAATAAGGCAAGGGGCCAATACTTAATATCTGACTCAAAGTAGAGGGGGTCGGCTTATTATAGGACAATAAGGCAAGGGGCCAATACTTAATATCTGACTCAAAGTAGAGGGGGTCGGCTTATTATAGGACAATAAGGCAAGGGGCCAATACTTAATATCTGACTCAAAGTAGAGTAGGAAAATAAGGCAAGGGGCCAATACTTAATATCTGACTCAAAGTAGAGGGGGTCGGCTTATTATAGGACAATAAGGCAAGGGGCCAATACTTAATATCTGACTCAAAGTAGAGGGGGTCTGCTTATAATAGGACAATAAGGCAAGGGGCCAATACTTAATATCTGACTCAAAGTAGAGGGGGTCGGCTTATTATAGGACAATAAGGCAAGGGGCCAATACTTAATATCTGACTCAAAGTAGAGGGGATCTGCTTATTATAAGACAATAAGGCAAGGGGCCAATACTTAATATCTGACTCAAAGTAGAGGGGATCTGCTTATTATAGGACAATATGGCAAGGGGCCAATACTTAATATCTGACTCAAAGTAGAGGGGATTGGCTTATTATAAGACAATAAGGCAAGGGATCAATACTTAATATCTGACTCAAAGTAGAGGGGGTCTGCTTATTATAGGACAATAAGGCAAGGGGGCCAATACTTAATATCTGACTCAAAGTAGAGAGGGTCTGCTTATTATAGGATAATAAGGCTAATGGCCCAACACATAACATCTTCAAGAAAAGGGGGTTGGCTTATTATAGGACTATCCTATATGTTTTGTTAATATTTCCAGCTTAATGTTTCTATTTATTTGGATAGGCTTATCGCCAGACATGAGCTAGCTGTTGGATATATAAGGTAAGCATACATATCTAAGTGAGCTGAAATTTTAATGCATCATAAAATGACTAACACATCATGATTAACAGACAGCATTACATATACCTGCACTTTGTAACAGGTGTATCAGGAAAGCACATAGTTAATGACAATGTAAGAGCTATCAACATGTATTACACACAAGTATTAAAATATACTCACAGGAAGTGACAGTATCAAACAGGGGAGTGAATCCATAGTTCATTGACATGAAAAATATCTGCAAATATACAACATTGTTTAAACTAAATCTGAGCTCATAAAAAACATATTAACATTTAGAGTTCATTAACAATATGTTTTTTCGAAAATTCACAATTTCAATTTACTACAACAACTTCAGTATAAAACTGAGCTAATGATAGTGAGCACCAACAAAAATGTTTTTATACTTAATTACTGTCAATGTAATGCTGGACATTCTACTTAAAAATGTGGTCTCGCAATGTTGATCAATCAGCTGTGTGACTATAATTTTCAGTCTACTGACCTACCTATTTTCAAAAATAATAATCTGTTTTGGAAGATATGTAACGAAAATTTCAAAATATTTATAAAAATGAAAATACATAAATAATTAACGTATCAATTTGCAACACAAGAGTGTGACATTTACTATATCATCCTAAAAATTTTAACTGTCCTATCAGTTTTGAAAATATCAATTGCCTTTTATTTATATTTCCATATAAAACCTGGCCAAAGCTGCACCTAGAAAATGATCAGGAAACAAAGGGAAGTAACTCTGAGAGATGAGAATGCATTAAACAAGACATTATAGTGGCTTACCACACCCATTCGGTCTCGTAGGGTGGCCTCAGTCCTAGGCAGCTGGAACCAGATCAGGCAGACTAGGATGGTCATTGTGACAGCCTCAATGACCTTGAATTTGTTGAAGATTTGTGTTTTTGATTGGCGGAAAGTACGAATGGTAAGATTTGTATACTGGGTGAGGAAACCAGTCGGCCACTTCTGTTTGTTATCAATCTTGGATTCCATGACACCATTATCAATATCGTCAAGCTCCATCAGACTGACATGAATACTCCCTGGATCTAGAAGATTCAAGAAAATTATACTTAACAGGTATTTCTGAAATGTTTTTGAAAGAAAAGAATTTGTTCATATACTTCAATAAAATGTTAAAACTTTTAACAGGTAATTTTCAGTTACTGACTGTGTATCAATGACCTTGATACCTGATAAGAACATGTACTTCAAGGCATCAAAATTAGTGTAAAACCATTCTACAGCTTATATTGATTTTTGCGATACCTATCATCTCTTATATTCATGGTATTTCATCTATCTTATCACTTTTTAGATATGTTATTATGCAAGAATTGTCTTGCTTAATCACGATGAAACAGCATGCTTAATGCTAAAAGCAGTGTATTTATCAGTGTTAAGTAAGTCAGAATGTAAGTGGATGAGTTTAACCAATCAAACACCTGATACAAAATTACCTTCTTCATCATTTGCTGCTTCTTTTGGTTTCGACCGGAATTTTTTTAAGATGCCGATTTTGTCGTAAAAGTTTTTGCTTTGTTTGAGGTCGTGTTGTGGGTCAGAGTTATGGATTTGATTAACATTGACATCATTTTGGTCTCTCCTCAATACTCTAGGCCAATCACTCTTCCTCCTAAAATAAACGAAACTCTTCTTCTTAAGCAAGAATCAACAATATTTGTTTAGAAAGACCCTTTTTTCTGAAGAATCAACAATATTTGTTTAGAAAGACCCTTTTTTCTGAAGAAACAACAATATTTGTTTAGAAAGACCCTTTTTTCTGAAGAAACAACAATATTTGTTTAGAAAGACCCTTTTTTCTGAAGAATCAACAATATTTGTTTAGAAAGACCCTTTTTTCTGAAGAATCAACAATATTTGTTTAGAAAGACCCTTTTTTCTGAAGAATCAACAATATTTGTTTAGAAAGACCCTTTTTTCTGAAGAATCAACAATATTTGTTTAGAAAGACCCTTTTTTCTGAAGAAACAACAATATTTGTTTAGAAGAATCAACAATATTTGTTTAGAAAGACCCTTTTTTCTGAAGAAACAACAATATTTGTTTAGAAAGACCCTTTTTTCTGAAGAAACAACAATATTTGTTTAGAAAGACCCTTTTTTCTGAAGAAACAACAATATTTATTTAGAAAGACCCTTTTTTCTGAAGAAACAACAACATTTGTTCTGTGTGTTTCAATATGCTTCTCCTCAAGGAAAAGTATCATAATTATAATGTAATGGTATTTTATGACCACATTCAAAAACCTATTACAGATATACTTATAAAGGCTTCGACATTTTCCTTATATAAACCTGCAAGATGAAAGTTAAATTTGTCAGACAATAAATACAATTACTTGTAATAACATTGTGACGTCATAACTGTAGCAATGCTGATTGAAAGAAAGGATCGTAATGTTGGAAATAAAAAACTAATTCCAACTGATATTGAATAAGAATGTATGTGTAACAGCATAAAGACTTAAAAAAACGTCTTAGACATGTCCTGTTTTTGGCATTTACAGTCACTGTATGCAGACAATGATATGATGAATACCTGTTATATATATTGTTCAATAGATATTGGTATACCTTTAGACATAATCAGTCCCCGTTTTTATTTGCGATCTTTTTGAATGATATTGAAGATTTCTTTCGTAAAAACAGTAGTGTTCCTTTGAGACATTTAAAGGAGAACTTTCAAAATGAACTTAACATATTTCTGGATATTTTTGTCTTGCTTTATGCTGATGATACTGTTATTCTCTCAGACTATATTGAAGGTTTACAGAAGGCGCTGGATATCTTTCATTTGTATTGTACCAAGTGGAAACTTAATGTTAATGTCAAGAAAACCAAGGTCATGATATTTTGTAAGAAAACGTTAAAAACTGGTGAAGGTTTTAAGATTAATGGCCTTATAATTGAAGAAGTAGATAGCTTTAATTACTTGGGTGTAACATTTAATTTTAATGGTAACTTTTATAAGTGCAAGCAAAAGTTGCGTGAACAATCACAAAAGGCTCTTTTCTCTGTGCACAGGAGTATTAAAAATCAACATCTTCCAATTGATTTACAGCTCAAATTATTTGACATCTTAGTTAAGCCTATATTACTTTATGGATCAGAAATATGGGGCTTTGAAAATATTAAAATTGTTGAGCAAGTCCACTTGCAATTTTGTAAAAGAATTTTAGGCGTAAGAAACACGACACCAAATTTTATGGTATATGGCGAACTTGGTCGTTACCCTCTGGAAATAGATATTAAACTCAGAATGGTTAATTTTTACAACTCGTTAATAATGCATGAGTCAAAGTTAAGTAGTCTTATGTACAGACTGATATACAAACTTCATGTCAACAATTTGTGTAAGTTTAAATGGGTAGATTTTATTAAATCTTGCTTTGATGATGTAGGACAGAGCGCTGTTTTCCAGAATCAGGGCCCAATTAGTAAATACTATATAAAAACCAGTATTAAAAAAACTTTAATAGATCAATTTATACAGAAATGGAGAAACGAAACGGAAAATTCATCTAGAGGCTTATTCTATAGTAGTTTTAAAAATTCTATACTGCTTGAGCCATACCTGACTCAACTCGCTGTTAAAAACAGACGGATTTTATGCAAAATTAGATGTTGTAATATGAAATTTCCCATTGAAACTGGAAGATGGCGCAATGTTCAGAGACAGGATAGGAAATGTTCTCTATGTAATACCTCAGTAGGTGACGAATTCCATTACTTATTTCAGTGCACTGATATAAGATTGATTGAACTGAGACAGAAATTCTTACCTTCATATTACTGGAGAAATCCAAACGTGTTCAAAATGTACGGATTGCTCTCAGTTTGTTATAAAAAAGTTCTAAATGCCTTTTGTTTATTTTTAAACAGTCTTGACAAAATATTGTATGAAAGATAATGTTTTCATCATATAAGTGATTTTATGAAACCCAAGTATATCACAGCTTTATAAAAAAAAAACTACCAGAAGCTATGCATTTACTTTAAAACAATCTTAATCAAATATTGTGAAGAAACACTACGTTATCATTATATAATATCAAAGGGTATTTAGATGTACTAATTGATATCAGTCTTTTACATATATGCCTGATGCCCTCTGTTTATTTTAAACAGTGTGGTGTTATAATAGCAAAGTGTATATAATGTGCAAATTGCTATCAATTTGATATAAATACTTAATACCCCATTTTATTTCAAAGTCTAAACAAAATACTATGTTATCCTTAAATAATGTGGTTTAATGAAACCAATTTGATATACAAAAGTACATAATGCCCTTTGGTTATCTTGAACAGCTGTAACAAAATATTGTGAAGCAATACTGTGTTAACATTATATAATGTGGTGTTATATTAAAGTGTATTTGAATATACTAATTGCAATCAATATGAAAATTTAAAGTACTAAATGCATCCTGTTTATTTTAAAGTCTTAACAAAATATTTTGAAGTAACACTATGGTATCCTTATATAGCGTGATGTTATGCTACCATTTTTATTTATATAAGTAAATCGTATTGTTCTAGTTGTTATCAGTCTGATCTATGAAAGTACTGTGTACTTTAAATAGTCCTAACAAAATACAGTGAAGCGTTACGACTTTCAGTTACCATCCATTTTGTCACGTATCTATTGATATAGTATTGTTTTACCTCATGTTATACATTTTCATGTATCTGAGGATCCAATAAACTTGAAACTTGAAACAGTCTCTCAATACACAGGTCAGTGTGTATATATTGTCCAGGAGATATTGGTATAACTTTAGACATAATCAGTCTCTCAATACACAGGTCAGTGTGTATATATTGTCCAGGAGATATTGGTATACCTTTAGACATAATCAGTCTCTCAATACACAGGTCAGTGTGTATATATTGTCCAGGAGATATTGGTATAACTTTAGGCATAATCAGTCTCTCAACACACAGGTCAGTGTGTATATATTGTCCAGGAGATATTGGTATACCTTTAGACATAATCAGTCTCTCAACACACAGGTCAGTGTCTATATATTGTTCAATAGAAATTGGAATACCTTTGGTCATAAGCTGCTGTCACTATCCTTTTCCTTGTCTTTTCATCTTCTTTCAATTTTTCCACTGAAATAGATAAAACTGACTTTTAAAAAATAACAAACGATGGTTCAAATGTCAAAGTTTATGAACACTAAGGACTTTCTAAATTAGAGGTACATTTTATATTTCTAATTATTCAGAAACAATGTCTTTATTCTAATAACTGAACATTTTTTTATAAATGAAATTAATTCAAATTAGGAGTTTGTTTTGATATCAAATTCTCACCAAAATAATGTATTTTTCTTTTACTTATTATTGAAAGAACAAAGAACAATCTCAATTTCACATGTAAACTGATATATTAGTTATTTTTTGATGATAAACACAGACTATGCTCTAATATACATGTGAATAATTCATTCATTTTTGTGAGGGATTATTTTCATTGAATTCATAATCGTCGAACTACATGAATGTTTTTGCCTTGGAAATAATAAATAGATACATGTTTACATGGATTACATCCTAAATGGATTTCGTGAGCAAATTTATCCACAAACTAAAGTGCAGACGAAAATTTTTTCTTGAGAAAATTTTTAAAATATATGATTTTACAGAAGTTTCATAGATAATTTTCATTAAATGTGTATATACAAGAATCCCAGAAGGCCTGCATCTGTCACATTAACAATAATGCAATAAATCAAAAGTAATTATCCTAGACACTTTATTTTTTGTTCAAAATGCCAATGCACTTATATCAGTACCCAATTACTTATAGATTATAGAAAAATTTCATAGACAGTTGACCAGTACATCACCATACCAAAAGCTTACTGATACTTTGAGCCATGTGAGCTAATGAACCAAAATTACTAAATGAAAACTGAACATTACTATAAATACTCCCTTGTTGAAAACTCCCTGTATTCTTTATTTTTCATGTAGTAATATTACTATTCCAAAAGAATACCACCTCATACTGTGGATTTTTTTATATGCCTACTATTTACTTAATTATAAAACAAAACAAAAAAATGTTCTACTTAATGTATAGTCATTCAACTCTATATATAAACAATTGATGTTACTTTAATATTACGTACTGGGGATAAAGCCCTTGTTATATCATTAATTTAAGGTATCTGAACTCTAAATTATAAAAAATCAAGATATAAATTTGGTTTATAATAGCTTTACTTTTGAAATACAATGGATCTTTTTTAAAATCTGGATCCATAATTTAAGAACATGTGACAGTGGTCATAGTATATACCTAACATAAACAGATAAGCTCATGCTCAATGATAAGCCCACCCAAGTTACTAACTGCATTTATCCTGTAACTGGCATGTCATTGTCGAAATACACCTGCCATCTATATTTTAGCTGTATTCAGTAGTGATGGAAAACAGTTTTATTTTAGCACATGCATTAATGTACGACAAAATCAGTTTCTGATTTACTTTAAGATTTCATTTTAAAATATAAACAAGTGTATAAATAAGTAATAAATTTATTTCTTGTAATCAACAACTTTATCATAGAAAATGTAATGAAATTGTTTTAAGGTTGAAATTTCAATTGTTTGATTTTCAATAAGTGTTGCAGGATAAATAGAATCTATGGTCAGTGTCTTAAAATGTAGGCTGTATTAAGGGTCAGGACAGAAAAAAAGAGGGGCTCACCACTTTTGTCTTTCTCTGCTCTCACAAAATTCAGCTTAACTTATACATTAATATATACTTCACGGATGACACTGACATATCTAGATACCATAGTTCTACATACTTGTATAGATAAGGTAACACAAAGCTTACAAACAAAATCAGCTGGATTGTAATGCTGCGACATCTCCATGCCAACGGAGCTGAAGAATTCCACGACCTTGCTGATATCTCCATAGTAAGCCGACTAGAAATATAATTATATTGAAAATCAAACATATAATAATAAAATCAAAATCAAAATAAAAAAAGACAAAAAATATACATTCTGTGCTTAATGAGAAAAAAAGAATGATATTAATTTTCATGCAATATTTTCATAAAACAGTTTTGTTTCGCATCTGTTTTTTTTTCGTTTGTCTAGTTAAAGATGTAGGGTTATGTACCCATAACATTAACTTTTCTTTATGTATACATAGATGAATATTAAGTTAACCATTTTTTCATCTTAATTCTAGTCTAAATTGAGTTCTCTGCAAAAGAACTTTCTGCAGTAAATTTTTAAGACAAATTTATTTGCTCAGAAATGAAAGTACCATGGAATGAGAGCTTAAAAAACATTTTTACCTAATGTCAAAATTCTTTTCAACAAGAGGTCCAAGAGGCCTGCACCACTCACCTGGCTTATTCAGTTATTCAGTTATTTAACAAAGAATTTCATATATGACAAATAATTACTGAATAGTTTCTCTAATGGGTCCCAGCCTTGTGGCAAACAGAAGTCAGATTCACTATTCATAAAAATTGCTTTAAACAAAACAAAACAATATCCCTGTACAGAAAAATGATTTTGAAGAACTTATAGAACTTGTTCTAGTACTCCTATTAGGCTCTGCTACTCCCACCACAGGGACCAAAGACCTATCATTTATACTAATTGAATCCACTTCCCAAAAAGATGCTTCCGTACAAATTTTGTAAAATCTATTCATTTGTTAGTGACTAGTAGCGATTTTTCATAAAAAATTGACGACTGGTGGATGCTAGACCTTGGACCCTGCACCATGGCATAAACTCACGGGCACTTCACACTAGATGAGGTAAAAATGATATCTTCAACTAAAATATAAACTATTCTGTAAGACAAAATAATATTAAAACAGAAATAACAATAGAGGTTAGTACAAGAAAGCCAGATGTTCCAGGCAAGTCAATTAGTTCACAAACCAGGTGGTGTCTTGTTAGGGAAGCAATGTTAGAAGCAGCTACAGAGATCATGCAAAAGCCACAACATGGTCACAGGACTGAAATATTAACAAAATATATTACTCAATACCATATTTATCCTAAAATAACCCCCATAGTGTAAAAGTTTAGTAGAGGGTTTATTTGTGAACTTTTTTCAGCTTTCCGTTTCAAAATTGATGATTATGCAAAAATGACGAGGGAGCTTATTTGTAAGTAGAGGCTTCTTTTCAGATAAATACGGTAAGCAAAAAAGTAACATAAACTATCACAAAAAACTCACTAAGTAAATTTAAAGGGTAGAAAACATACAAGAAATTAACATCAAATCAAATAAAACAAGTTGCATAAAGCAATATATTTAACAACAGCAAATGTGTTTCCAAACCGAATCAAATCTCATATCCATATTTTTCAGAAATTTTTGACAATATCTAACCTAATGTTTTTATCTATTAATTGCAAACTAAAGTACCGTGTGTAATCTTCATACCAATATTTTGAAAATGTGTAAATCATTTGATTCATAAATAGATTTTGCTGCTTATTTGTAAAATCATAAACAAATATTATTATGAATGAAGAGTTATTAGTCATGTTTATTTCTGTTGGGAGATTGATAGCATCCTATCAGTGATATAGGTGAGGTAGGATCAACAACTAAAAAGTGCTCCTGCTCTCATGCATCATTGTTTAAGCCTTTGTGGAAGTTGTTAAATGTAACCTTTGACCCTTTCACCTTGACCTATGACCAGCCTAATATGACAAGGTGTAGAACTTGATGTTATGATACAATAGAGTAAATATTAACAAATTTTGTAGAGAAATTTGTAAATAATGACATGAACAGGAATGGAGGGAGGAACATGAGTAACATGGTACTCTAGTATTGTGTAGATAGATTATTGGTAATATTGTCTCGTCAACAAATAGTGTTATAACATGTATATTGTATAGCTGTCAAATGACTTTGCCAATCTTAGGAACATTGTAGGTATAGAGTTATCTGTTCTTAGACGGAATTTGTGGGCAACTTACATGATGTTGTAATAAACATGTATTCTGTTTAATCTTGAAATTTAATTATTCTTTCAAGAATCCTTCAGGTATGCTAACACCAACTGTCATAACCCTTTCTCAATAAAAAAAGTGGGGGAGGGTGGGGGGTGGGCAAACATAAAGATATTGATATTATAGCCATGTTAGTAGGTAATGTTAATGAGAGGAAATCATTTACTGACCAATTTCTGTGCAACAAGGTATCAAACTGGTGACATTAATGCTGGAAAAATGCATGGTATATTCAGACAATAAGCATGCACTATTACTAGAAAAAAATTACAGCAAGATTAAAGTGGTAAGAATTACCTCCCCTTCTGACATGAGCAACAGACTATCAAACTGGTAGAAGATGAAGCTGGAGGGTTGGTGTATTGTGGCCACAACTGTTTTGTTATGCTGTCTGGCATACATTTTGAGAGTCTGTACTAAACTAAATGCTGTACTGTAGTCCAGTCCTGATGTAGGTTCCTGCAACATTGGTACATGGATATAATCACAATCTGCATCACCTGTATATCAATTACAGGTGGATTATACACAATTTACAAATAATAACATAGAATATTACTGAACATTTTATAACAAAATTTGTTACCCACTAATTTATCATGTAACAATCCCAGAAAGCCAACACAGAATCACCGAGCTAACATAGGAAATGTTATCACAGGATAAAAATATTACATTTGTTTGATTTCTACTGAATTAGGAGTATATATGGATAGGCTTATTACCAGGCATGGGGTATTGTTCAGTGAATACAGTATTGTGTTTAGGTGGAAACATTTTGTAGTAAGTACATTTTCTTGCATCATGTATTTACACAGTAGCTTAAACCACAATGACTACATCCTTTCAAAATCAAACAGATAAACTATAAAAAATACTTGTGCTAATTGATGTTGGTTGTTGGAAATTTTTCTTCTTGGGAGATTTTTCTAAACTGGCTTTGAATACATCTTAGTTCATATTTTTCAATATTTCATCCACATACCATCCTTAATTATCTGCATCAAATGAATGTACTGCAAAGCCTAATCTCAGAGGCATTACCTTAAGGAAATGAAGGTAATAAAGGGAGATACAAAAAGACTAAGTATGGTTGAGTCACAATTTTTTATAAATCATGGATTGAGTGTAGTGGATGGTAAGTGGATAAGTGTGGATGGGTAGTGTGGATGGGTAGTGTGGTTAGGGAGTGTGGATTGGGAGAGAGGGTGAAGGTGGTTCAGTGAGTGTGGGTAACGAAGGTGGGTGGGTAAATGTGGCCGGGGAGTTTGAGTGAAGATAAATGGGGAATATGGGTGGCATTTTGTCAAGAGTGTGGGTGAGGAGTGTTCGGAGTTTGGTGGAGTGTTGGTGAGGAGTGTTTGGAGTTTGGTGGAGTGTGGGTGAAGGAGTGTTTGGAATTTGGTGGAGTGTGGGTGAGGAGTGTTTGGAGTTTGGTGGAGTGTAGGTGAGGAGTGTTTGGAGTTTGGTGGAGTGTGGGTGAGGAGTGTTTGGAGTTTGGTGGAGTGTAGGTGAGGAGTGTTTGGAGTTTGGTGGAGTGTGAGTGAGGAGTGTTTGGAGTTTGGTGGAGTGTGAGTGAAGGAGTGTTTGGAGTTTGGTGGAGTGTGGGTGAGGAGTGTTTGGAATTTGGTGGAGTGTGGGTGAGGAGTGTTTAGAGTTTGGTGGAGTGTGGATGAGGAGTATTTGGAGTTTGGTGGAGTGTGAGTGAGGAGTGTTTGGAGTTTGGTGGAGTGTGGGTGAGGAGTGTTTGGAGTTTGGTGGAGTGTGGGTGAAGAGTGTTTGGAGTTTGGTGGAGTGTGGGTGAGGAGTGTTTGGAGTTTGGTGGAGTGTGGGTGAAGAGTGTTTGGAGTTTGGTGGAGTGTGGGTGAGGAGTGTTTGGAGTTTGGTGGAGTGTGGGTGAAGAGTGTTTGGAGTTTGGTGGAGTGTGGGTGAGGATTGTTTGGAGTTTGGTGGAGTGTGAGTGAAGGAGTGTTTGGAGATTGGTGGAGTGTAGGTGAGGAGTGTTTGGAATTTGGTGGAGTGTGGGTGAGGAATGTTTGGAGTTTGGTGGAGTGTTGGTGAGGAGTGTTTGGAGTCTGGTGGAGTGTGGGTGAGGAGTGTTTGGAGTTTGGTGGAGTGTGGGTGAGGAGTGTTTGGAGTTTGGTGGAGTGTGAGTGAAGGAGTGTTTGGAGTTTGGTGGAGTGTGGGTGAGGAGTGTTTGGAATTTGGTGGAGGGTGGGTGAGGAGTGTTTGGAATTTGGTGGAGTGTGGGTGAGGAGTGTTTGGAGTTTGGTGGAGTGTGGGTGAGGAGTGTTTGGAGTTTGGTGGAGTGTGAGTGAAGGAGTGTTGGTGGAGTGTGGGTGAGGAGTGTGGAGTGTGTGTGAAGGATGGTGAGGAGTGTTTGGAATGGAGTGTGGTGGAGGGTGGGTGAGGAGTGTTTGGAATTTGGTGGAGTGTGGGTGAGGAGTGTTTTGAGTTTGGTGGAGTGTGGGTGAGGAGTGTTTGGAGTTTGGTGGAGTGTGCGTGAGGAGTGTTTGGAGCTTTGTGGAGTGTGGGTGAGGAGTGTTTGGAGTTTGGTGGAGTGTGAGTGAAGGAGTGTTTGGAGTTTGGTGGAGTGTGGGTGAGGAGTGTTTGGAATTTGGTGGAGTGTGGGTGAGGAGTGTTTTGAGTTTGGTGGAGTGTGGGTAAGGAGTGTTTGGAGTTTGGTGGAGTGTGGGTGAGGAGTGTTTGGAGTTTGGTGGAGTGTGGGTGAGGAGTGTTTGGAGTTTGGTGGAGTGTGGGTGAAGGAGTGTTTGGAGTTTGGTGGAGTGTGGGTGAGGATTGTTTGGAGTTTGGTGGAGTGTGGATGAGTATTGTTTGGAGAATGTGGATAGGCAGGGAATGTGGGTTTGGGTTGGTCATGAGTTTGAGTGAGCATGGTTGAGTATGGTAAGAAGTGTGAGTTATTGTGTACAAAATTCTGTTCTGATAAACATTTAATCTCACTTAGGAATGTGATATCCCTCTAATCATCCTGTAGTAAGTCCAGGGAACCATTCTTACTCTAAGTCAGGGGATAGCCTTATTACAGTACCATGGAGTAGCACTGGTTTGTAACTTTACAGTAATACAAATGAGTAGACATAACTTACATCAAGGAATATCATAAGTGGGTCGGTGATCAGTTCACAGGCAATATTGGCTCGCTTCTTTTCTCCTCCAGACAGACCTCTTGTCCACATGTCGCCCATGACTGTGGGTTTCATAATTCATATCAAATACAAAATGTATATGATGGTAATATATTACTTGCAAAACTTAATATTGTGACAACATGTCATTGTGAATGTTGATTAAAAAAAGTTTTGAATTTACAACAAATGTCTGTTAAAATGCAGTGGGTGATCAGACTACCCACAAATCTATCCATCTAGCAAATGACAGTTCTAGAGATGAGTCCTTGTGAACTGACAGCATCATACTTGATAACCTTATTATTTTGGAGTCCCCATCTCACATTTCTTCAACTTAATTTGAGAAATCATTAATTTAAAACAGTGTTGTTCATAACTTTATATACATGTTCAATGACCCTCTAAAATGCTCTAATGATTTTCTTCTTTCCAATACAGTGGGGAATTATATAACTTACTTGTTTCAAGGCATTTGTTAAGGTCAAGGGCATCTACAATTTCATTGACCTTTTCTAATTTCTCTTTCTTTGGCATTGAATCAGGTAACCTGACCATGGCTGCAAACTGAAAAGAATCCAGCAAAATAATCTTTTTCATACATTCTGCACATAGTTCATTCACACCATGGTGTATCTATAGATTTAATGTATAACCTTGCCTCAATTAAAATTTTTCCAACTGATCCAAAGTTTACCTTGTCAATGAACTTTAATAAAGTTTGAAAATAAAACTTCAATGGAATTCTTTCTTTTTTATGAATGAAACAAGTTCAAGAAAATTAATCATTTACAACTAATATTATGTTATTTTATCCTTATAAACATATACCTGTACCAATAATTTTTTAAGACTGTTTATGTGAGATCATTTCACAAAACGGAAAGAAAACTGAACTGTTCAAATTACAATGTCTTTATTTAAAACATCTATAATAATATTACAACTAGTAAACACTAATGAAAATATGATATTAAAATTTTTCAATTTATGCTCTTATCATGATACTGAAGTAACTGTTTCAAACATAGCTAATATCATGAATTCCATTATTGTCAGATCCCACGAAAGTCAACTTACAGTTAATGTTTCCTTTAAAGTGAGGCTGGGGAAGAAAACATCCTGCTGCAGTACGTAGCATACCTTTCGTTTGAGGGATTTATTTATCTTACTTCCATTCAGAGTAATCTCCCCTGATGAAAGTGGATTTCGGCCTGCAAGGGTATTTAGTAAAGTTGTCTTACCAGCCCCTAGAAAAGTGAAAAAAAAAATAAATCAAAGCACATGAACAACAGAAGTAAAATTTTAAATCAATTAACAGAATAATTTATTGAATAGTTAAATCTAAATGAACAAAAACTATATATTTTGCAAAAGGCAATCAAGTTGGACTTTCATAGAAGCAAATATCAACCCGAACAGCAAACAGAAAAGTCTCCTACGTTTGTTTCCATACTTTAAACATTGCTTTTTTAATTCTCACAATTTTTTTTAAGGTTTTTCCTAGCACTAACTAAACATTTTAAGCAAGAATGTTTTTTCACAGTAGTCCTGATACAGAATATGGTTTTCTTTGTTAATTTTGTTTTTTGATGGTATCTATTTTTCACAATTCTATAGGCAACTTTTACAGCTTTTTTTATAAAGTAACAGCATATGGATTTGATTAAATCTGAGTCACTGCTGTCATGACATGGAGGCTCCAATTGTCAGTCGATTAAAGTGTTGGTTTATTTAACTACTGGTGGAGATCTGAGGTATGCTGTTTGTCAGTCCTTACCCATTGGTGTTTATATTTCTCAGGAAACTAAGAAAGATACCAGTCTGTTCTGTCATAGTCGTGTCCTTAGGCAAGACATTTTACCTTAATTGTACTGTTTGGTATACAAAAGGCCTTCTGTATGTTGTTCACTGAGGTAGTCACCAGCTATGGCAAGGTGAAACTGCCTCAACATGACCATGGCTGTTTATGGGGCAATAAACCCAACAAATATCACATGTACCTGGTATATATAGTCCACAAAAATCTTTAACACAGGTAAATTACAAGAGGACCATAGGACCTGTATTTCTCACCTGAGTGGTAATTCAATATCTGCAATTTGGTCTAAAATACAGTAAAATCACTATTTGTTTGAAATACTGGCACCTGAATAAATGAAAGTTCCTGATGGGCAAATCATAATAATTAAAGTGATCATAATATAGGAGATACAACTTGAAACTGACCACTAGGTCCCATGATGGCAAGGAGCTGACCAGCCTTGACCATTCCGCTGACCTCCTTGAGGACTTGTTTGGGGCCAATATGTGCATTTACATCGCGAAACACAAGCTCCATGCCTGGCCGACCTCCATTAGCTCTAGTCTCGTGTGGACTAGACATGTCAATAGTCGATCTCAGTCACATTCCACTGTATTTACTACATCCCTAAAAGTAAATAAAATATACAGTAATTATTAATTCAATGCAAATTAATGTGTGCAGCAAATTCATCCCTCCATGTAACTGCTGTTGAAAATTTTCTCAAAAAATCAAAACATGTCACCAATCCTTCTCATAACTTCAAACGAATTAGTAGGTGTCTATATTCACATGTTGAATATTAATTATTACCAGTTCACATGTCGCAATTTGTTTTTCTGAGCAGTCTGAAAATAAAACGGGTACCACTAAGGATGAAACGGAAATTTGAGATTTATCCAGTACTACTCAGGAAATGGCAATAACAAAAATTATTTACAGATAATCAATGGACCATGGACATAGAATAATTATAATAGCTCACCATCGATGTTGGACTTAATATGCATGTGCACACACTGAAAAGTGTCACATGTGGCTAGAATATTCTTATTATAGACTAATTGTATTGACTATAAATAAAGAGGTTAGGGTTTATATTTAGTAACACAAATAAGCTATACATATGTACAATCATTCATGTGACCATGTGTTCCTCTGATTTAACATAAATTTACATCCGTCCTAGATTTTGTTCTGTCATACCAGATATTTGGAAGTACGCGTAAACAGAGGAGACCTGAAAATTATTAAAAAAATTATGATCATAGGACATATCAATTGGATATGAAGACAAAATTAGTTGACTTATTGGTAAAGTTACACTGGTTTGTATCTCTTATCATACATGCATGATGTTAGCACATGCAGAAAAAAGAAAATCTGATATATTCATCAGAATGCCTGAAATTATATAATATGCACTTGGTGTATATAGTATGATATGAAAATCCAACTGAATTATGCCATGGCAAGAAAACACAGTTTTGTCCCCAGAGATTGCTAGGTGTAAATGATACCTGTTTTTCTTTCTTAACATGTGGATTAACAATACTAACTCATGCCATTTATTGAGACAAAAAAATTCAGTTTCAAGTGAGATAGGAGATAGTATTTTCTATAATAGGCATTGCAGATGATACACATACCCTCATGTTCCAAAGGTGAAATGTTATGTGTAAAGGGAAATGAAGAGCAATTTTGTCTGCTTTATGAGCCTGACTCTGTCCTTGAAAAATGGATGTAAAATGCTAAATTATGGCATTAAATAGCATATGAGAATGTTGATAAGGCCTAATGTACTGGGGATGCTGGTAGATCACACCAATAAAACGAGAGAAAACCAGTCTCTAGTTTGTTATTGATTGATGTACCCATTTTAGAGTGTCCCTTACTCTCGAGTATCCTTGCCTACTAAGTGATATCAAAGCTATTGATAATTTTAAATTTTATTTATCGAAGATATACAACCTGATTTAGCCAGAGGCTAATCTCCGACAGTGTCTTCAAGGTCATTGAAATTTATTAGTTTATAATTTACAGACAATCAAAAGTTAAAATATTTCATAGTTAAAAGCAATACTATATTTAAAACAATTACGACTAGAAATCAATTTCATATAATGATAACTAAAACCTGATTATCACAGACAAATTTTATGCTTAGGAATATTCATTAAATTAAACTGGAGTTCCCGGGGAAAACCACCAACATACGGCCAGTATGTGATGACTGCCTCAATAGACATCAAATCCGCGACCCTGAGGTGGAGGACAAGTGATTTAGACAGTCATATGCCTTAACTATTTTTGTTTAAATCACAGTAATGCTTTATTGGTATCTTTCCTAAAATACTTAATGACGGCGGTGATCTTACATCAATAGGAATCTGGTTTCGGATTTGAAAGCCAAACTCAATAAAATTACCTTACAAAAGATGCTGTTCTTCCTGGCGTGTAACTCTAGAATGGCTATTGTTAACAGGGTTAAAATGAGAGCCTAAATAATCAGGAACAACTCCATTTACACAATCTAAAGTAATTACATGTATTGATTTCTGTACTCTATATATAAGCCAATTGACATCAATTTCAAGTGACAAATTTGGTCTTTAGATGGGGTGTCAAATGGAGCATCTATGATAAGGAGTGCTGTGTGTTTTTGAAATGTACATAATACTATCATTATAGCTACTCCACACACGACAATAATGAACAAAATATGGAAATACGTAAGAATTACAATATTTCTGCCTTCCGCTTACTGATAAGTTCTGCTTTATACGTCGCAACAGCCCTAGACCACAGTTAACCCTAGATACAACAGAATCTACATGTCCAGAAAAACACAGGTGATGGTCTAGTTACACCACAGATTTTCTCAGTATTTACCTGCTGAATTTCCTCACCATTAAACCTTAAACTCATTTCATCACATTAAGTTCACAATGCTTCTATTTTGTTGTTGATATCATGCATTTTGATTGGTAATCTTCATTAACTACCAATTGATTTTCAGTAAACCACTCTTCTACATTTTTTAAATCACATCGAAGTTTTTCTCTGATACTACTAAATGTCTTTCCTGACACAGACAATGTAGAACCGTCTTCATACATATCTGTTCTGGAAGCAGCTTTCACGGCAGATCATTAATTAAGGTAAGAAATATCAGAGGCCCCAGTTAGAGCCCTGGGGTATCCCATAGGTAATCCCTCTGGCCTCTGATTGATTACCTGTTATACACCAGTAGTATCATACTGGTAAAGATTCAGCTTTTCAACACGGTGCAGCATGGTTTATGAAGTTGAAAACCTTCCTTAAATCAAGGAAACCTACTCCATTCATACAACTATGATCAATTTCCTCTGCTCATGAATCCATAATCTTCAATAGAGCGGTTTCACATGACTGATTTTCACAGAAAAGAGACTGAGATGAAAAAATTAGACCATGGTTATTTAAGTACTGATAGAAAGAACTATGAACATGTCTTTCCAATAATTTGGAAATTACAGGTAAGACAGAAATAGCCCTGTAAATGGATAATTCTCAAGTCTTACCTCTTTTAAGTAAAAGTATGAATTTTACGAATTTCCTTTCACTGTCAATTTACCAGTTGGATACTTATGTTCATCATATAAATGAGTATAGCTCGCCTGCATGTAGGAATCATACTCATCTTCATTCATACATCTGGTTATCACATAAAGCAGCGGAGACAGCCCTGAATGCAAAATTTTTATATGTTTTCATGTTGTCCAATGTTATGTATATATATGTTTTGTTATGATCTTATTAGTATGGTTTTTATATTGGATGTGTTCATTACAATTTTCTAATCGTATATCCATCGTTTGTTGTTGTTTATAAAAATGAGTATAGGTGCAATCTTTGTCCAAGCTAGTTTCAGCAGTTTTAAGCTGAGTTCATAGAGGCCTATTGGCTTATGATCATTAAGAGAACATAAGTACGTAAGGGTAACTGCACTATTACAAAACGTAGAGCAAAATTTCACATATGATCACTTAATAAAGAGGTTAGTTTTCTAGCTGCATTTGAAAAGAAATGGTTGAAGAGATCGGCAATTTTCTCCTTATCCATGACATCATTGCTATCAGTAGTGAACATCATAGGTGTAGTGGACGATCTTACGACACTAAGACTAACATACCAGCCAATACTCACCTCAGCGTTGGCTTGACCCTTGGACTTCTGTGAATTTCTGTTTACAGTGATGGTGACTTTTTTTATTCTAGATGCATGTGTATGTATAGGTAGATCCTTTTATACTTTGATGACATTTATCAAGAGTGTATAATTAGTATTACCACATGAACTGATTACGTTCATCTCCAGGCTATGTGGAAATCATTAAAACAGTCAGTAGTCAAAGTGCTCCATGTTAGACCTTCACAGACTCTCAAAAATTATCTCTTGTTAATAATATAGGTCCCTTAGAAAAACCCTTCATTATGTCCAAACCCTGCAGTGATCATTTTGGACCATTGTATACATGTAGTGTGGTAAAGCTTTCGAAAGGCAATCATACTGTTTACATGTACTCTGTCAGTAAGCAGAAAATCAAACAGACTGACATTCTTAAACAATCAATTCAGATCTTGGCTTTTGGTTCAAAAGGTCACTGTTCGTAGTAATATGATCAAACACAATTTATTAATGACTTCCAGTAAAAATTGTAAACATTCAGCCATATTTCTTGGTAATTATCATGTTTTTTAACATTGGTTAAACTATAGTTGTTATTTTGATAAAATAATAGTTGTATTATGATAATAGATTATGATATATACTACATTTTGAAAACTGAATACTTCAAGTATTGTTTTCTTGCCAGACAACAAAATAAAAATTACTCTATATCTATGGTCTTCTGGATGGTAGACCTTTCACCTGCATGGTAGTAAACTGGAAGTTCACTAATCTGGATGTAAGTGAGCTGGTAGATCTCTTACCTGAATGGTAGTGAACTTGTAGAGGAGCACTCACCTTAATGGTGGTGAACTAGAAAATCACTCATCTGAATTGTTGTGGACTGGTAGCTCATTCACCAAAATTAAAGTGAATAAGTTGCTCATTCATCTGGATGGTAATGAACTGATGAATCACTCACCTGAATGTTGGTGAAATTGACTTCCATCACTGATCATAATTGTATGGAAGTTATAGACCACTTCCAGAAATAGGTCACCAAACTCAGTTTTAGGTTTCCAAAGTTTCATTGCAGAGCACGAGTAGGTTTCTTACCTTACTGGTACAGGTAGGTTTCTCACTTGATTGGTAAAGGTAGGTTTCTTACCTTACTGGTGCAGGTAGGTTTCTTACCTTACTGGTACAGGTAGGTTTCTTACCTTACTGGTGCAGGTAGGTTTCTTACCTTACTGGTGTAGGTAGGTTTCTTACCTTACTGGTGCAGGTAGGTTTCTTACCTTACTGGTGCAGGTAGGTTTCTTACCTTACTGGTACAGATAGGTTTCTTACCTTACTGGTACAGGTAGATTTCTTACCTTACTGGTACAGATAGGTTTCTTACCTTACTGGTACAGGTAGATTTCTTACCTTACTGGTACAGGTAGGTTTCTTACTTGATTGGTAAAGGTAGGTTTCTTACCTTACTGGTAAATGTAGGTTTCTTACCTTACTGGTAAATGTAGGTTTCTTACCTTACTGGTGCAGGTAGGTTTCTTACCTTACTGGTACAGGTTTCTTACCTTACTGGTACAGGTAGGTTTCTTACTTGATTGGTAAAGGTAGGTTTCTTACCTTACTGGTACAGGTAGGTTTCTTACTTGATTGGTAAAGGTAGGTTTCTTACCTTACTGGTACAGGTAGGTTTCTTACCTTACTGGTACAGGTAGGTTTCTTACCTTACTGGTGCAGGTAGGTTTCTTACCTTACTGGTACAGGTAGGTTTCTTACCTTACTGGTGCAGGTAGGTTTCTTACCTTACTGGTAAAGATAGGTTTCTCACTTGATTGGTAAAGGTAGGTTTATTACCTTACTGGTACAGGTAGGTTTCTTACCTTACTGGTACAGGTAGGTTTCTCACTTGATTGGTAAAGGTAGGTGACTTACCTTACTGGTGCAGGTAGGTTTCTTACCTTACTGGTACAAGTAGGATTCTTACCTTACTGGTACAGGTAAGTTTCTCACTTGATTGGTAAAGGTAGGTGACTTACCTTACTGGTGCAGGTAGGTTTCTTACCTTACTGGTACAAGTAGGATTCTTACCTTACTGGTGCAGGTAAGAAACCTTACTGGTGCAGGTAGGTTTCTTACCTTACTGGTACAGGTAGGTTTCTTACCTTACTGGTGCAGGTAGGTTTCTTACCTTACTGGTACAGGTAGGTTTCTTACCTTAGTGGTGAAGGTTGGTTTCTCCATCTGATAGGAATAGTCTTTCAGGAATTCTCTCTACGCACTGTCATACATCATTACTGATTCACTGCTCTCAGCTGTACACTACAGGCAAGCACTGAAAATACAACACACCTCAAGGTAACCAACACATTTGTAGTGATATAAATTTGATATAGGAAAGGTCAATAAATAACGTTAATCATCAATTTTATCTATGTCTTTAATTCCATGTTACAATAAATATTCATATGTAACTTACCTGTTTTACTAAAGAATATACCCCCACCCCTAATCCTGTGCGTAAAGGTTATGGCATAACTTTTGGGTAAGAGTTCCTTTTGAAACCCCCACCCAAAGTGGCTACCAATGGGTTTTTATACCTGGTAAATATAATACAAGTGTCTGAAAGGGTTGATTTTAAGACCATGCCCCAATTTTCCTTGGTACCCCTTAAAATAAACCCTTTTAAATACTTATTATAGCCTACTGGTAGTCATTTTGGGTTTGGGGTTCAAAAGGAACTCTTTCTGGCTTTTGTAGTAACAAAGGATTTATTATACCCAAGTGATAGTGAATGTGTGAGAAGTCCCGGGTGACAAGAAACACTGCAATAACTCATTTGCATAGCTCAAACACAGTATCAGAGAAGGAACAAATTATTGGATACAAGGGAAAATCTGTTCTGGACTTATTAGAGAAAAAGTGTGGAAAAACAACAGGAAGTTGTACATTTTGATGATGAGTGATATAGTGGGAGATGCTGGATACTAAAACTCATTTAATTAAAGCATTTCCTGTGTGTGTCTTATCTTGTGATCATGGAAATGTAGGTTCCAGAGATATTATAAATGTAACATACTTTTCCAGAAAAAAAAGGATATTTAACATTCTCATGGTAATGAATTTTTTTAATTAGACTGTGAACTGTGTGAAACGTGTGATATTATATGTCTCAAAGTGAATCCTAATTCATATGACATACACTTGACATGTGGAATTAAAACTATAACTTACTATGTCTATGTAAACTCTTCCATATATACTCTATGATAATTTATCAATTTGATGTTTCACAAGCATGTGCACCTATATATACACATGTATATGATATTTATCATGTATTTATACTATCAAATGTTTTCTATCCATGTTCTATACTCTTTGTACTCTTCATTTTGGAGGCAATAAAGAGAATAATTACTAACTTATTAAATAACTCCCCATCTCTTACAGGTTGTTACCACAGTTCACAGCGCCTTGCATGATTATCAAGTGGTAATGAATACCCATGAAAGGGGATTAGGTGTTCAGTGGACTGTGGTAGGGGTGTGAAATATGCAGCTTTTTATCTCAAAAATGTTGACCACATTGGAGATAAAAAGCTTGTCTACTGCATACCCTCTGACTTTTATCTTTGACCAATGACCTCCAAATTCAAGTGTATTGACCTTGGTGGTGTGATGGTATGGTATGAGTCTCAACAAAATCTGTTCGGGGTTCATAAGATATACAAATGTGTGTAGAACAAAGCTGTTGGAAGTCTGTCAAGGTAAACATGCTGCAGGTTTTATTTACACTAAACAATTGGTTTTTATGGCAATGTACATTGCATAACAAAGCTACACAATGATATGGTATACATGCTATCTATTTTGTTGCCTGGTTTAAAATAACAAACATTGCTTCCTTTTTTCTGCGTGAAATGTGAAGGTCAAGACAAGGACAGAATTAACCAGCGGCAGAAACTTTCCTGCAAAATTTTCAAAGGCACAATCAGAGTCCCTGAATAACATTCCTGATCACGAAGTGCAGTTATCTGAAATACAAGATTTGAAAGCTGCTTCCATGTCACTTCAAGGTTATATATGTGATTTTTGTTTTCTTTGCAGAGGGTTAGTTTTTGGCAGTTTAATATGAAAACCTTCCTGCAAAATTATGTATTTGTCATGTAAATCTTAAATAGACTAAAATTTTTATCTCAACAGGTCTACAGAACTGGTGAGCTTCAAATTGAAAGCCTTTGGGCGGCGTCCATCAGACCAGACATCACCATTTTTTACAAATTGCTTCTTGTTATGTATGACTTTGATAATATTTGGTCAGAAGCATCCTTGGGGGGAAAATGAATCAATTTTGTATAAATGGAATCTAGACCTACCTTCTAGAGCTTGATGGGCTGGACCCAATAATGGAAAACTAGCAATATTTGATATTGATCATCTGTTTGGATGAAGGTATTTAGACTAAATTTGGTTAGAAGTATCCTTGAGAAATGAGAACCAATTTAGGTCTCTGTCCCCTAAGTCAGAGGGGTAGGGCCAAATATGGGAAATAAAGAAACATCTTATCTGCTTCTGTTGGAATGAAGGTATTTTTACAAAATTTAGTCCGAAACATCTTTGAGGAAGGGGAACCAATTTTGTGTAAATGAAGAGCTTTGCCCCCTGGGGCCACAGGGGCATGATCCAACATAAAAATAGAGATATATCTTTAACATCTTGACTCATCTCAAACATCTTAACTCATCTTTAACATCTTGACACTTGGGATGGAGTAGACTTTAAGTAAATCCTTCTTCTGTAGGAATAACAGGATTGTATTCAAATTTGGTCTGAAGCATCCTTAGGTGAAGGGAAACCAATTTTATTGGTTAACAGCAATTCAGTACACATTCATAATCCCACTGACTGAATACAGAGACCAAGAATTATTTTTTGTTTTCTGCATATATATATATATATATGCTTTCAGATGCAGGTTCATTCTAAAGATAACTATATCAGATTGGTTTTCATAATAGAAAGTTTTTTAGAAACTGTGTGATTTTGTGGCTATGATAAGAAAAGTCTAGAAAACAAGAGGAAGTCTTGAAACATTTCCTTTTTTTTAATATTCAGAATGAACTTGTGACATGGAAATATTGTTACTAGCACATCTGTACTACTGAACAAGAGGTAATAACAGTTTTTAATCTACACATTGCATAGCAGCAAGTTTATAATATTAGATTGCATGCCAATGATTGATGAGATCAGATACAACTAAATAGCCAAATCATTGATTAAGACAATGATAAAAAAAGATTGCTTGGACATCCTGACAATTACAAATGCAGGCAGGAGAAGGATTCTATTGGAAAATGGAAAGCCCGATGGCAAGCCAGTGACATCAATCCATAAAGGCAGGTCATTCACCTGGTATCACTGGACAATGACCTCGTACAGCATCAACACAGTTACAGTCAACTCAAGGTCAATACTTAAGGCATATTCAATAAATTTGTGTGGATCTGTTCCTATTCAATTATCAATCTAGTAGGATTTCAATTAATCATAGTTGTTGTGCATTAAGCAGGGAAAAAATAACTGTTTTTTGCAGACAATATACATCTTAAAATATAATAGAAAAAAAGATGAAAGTGCTACTGATTTAATCCATGTGTTCTACAAATTTATTTTGATATATATATATATATATATATAAAAATGATTGCAAACTTCTGAGATATTTCCTAAAAGTTAACAAGTATTCAAGTATGATCAATTTTATCTTATCTTGAGTTTGATATGTTAGTTTTGGCCACAGTGTACCTGTCATAGTGATTTATAGGTTTTGAACATACCTTATAACAGAATCAGCATGTATCAATCAAGGTTGCCATTCAATTTCTGTTGTTGTTTTTTTTCAAATTAGTTTTTGTCCATACTGGTTTTACAGTGAAATGAATTTTGATATAAGCGTAAATAAAAATATATACGTATTAAAAAAATATCATAAACGGTATATATCCTACATACATAAAAATGTGGATCAAATGCGAAAAAAAATTGAAAAGAAATCATCAAAAGAATGAAGTGTTAGATGCAGTATGCAGTATCTATAACAGGGAAATGAAACCAAAAAAAAACCCAGTGATATAGTTAGAAACTATTGTTTGACAAGATTCAAACTGACCAGATGACCTTTTTATTGCAAGATGCACATCAATCTTTGAAAATATTTCCATTTCAATGTTTGAACTATAATTTGCTTTGTGTTAAAGTAATAAACATAAGTGTAAATGCATTTATTAAAATTTCTTTCAACAAATTATTCTACATAAAACATATCGTGTATATTTCCATTTTAATGTTTAAATTATGATTTGCTTTGAGTTAAAGTAATAAACGTAAGTGTAAATGCAGTTATAAAAATTTCTTTCAACAAATTATTCTATATAAAACATATCTTGCATTACATCGGTCATGTTCATTTCACACAACTTATTTTTCAGACAAATTGAGAATTTGAGCACCAAAACGTGAAAATAAAATACCATACACATATGTGTGAATCTCTTGCCTTACAATAAATACCCTGACAAGATCTCTAGGAAAAACAATTACATATAAGGATTTACCTCTTATACCCTTATTGGGCCCCACATACTTAATTCAATATCCGATATTGACTCTCTTTAAATTGAAAATAATTTTGCAGTTCACAAAGATCCCTTATGCATAAGAAAGGAAAGGGATTGAACTCACCTATGTTTTCCCTTTTACACTCTGACCTCTGCCACCTGGGCCACTAATTAATGCTTTACAACCCTTTACCTTGCAGTCAAATCTTCTGATTATAGGAAATTGAGTTTGATTATTCAATTCACCTATACTGGGTAAGGAAACTCTTAGTATTAATTAAGAACATGGAATCAATTAACCTTAACCGTAAGTGTGAAAAAGAAATCCACTGACCCGACAACCATACTGATACAGATATATAGGCATCTTTTTAAAGAACTGAACTTATTTTTCATATCAAAATGTGACTATTTTTCTGTAAATAGTAATTTTCACCTTCATGGTACTTGTATCATCAAAACATGAATTCATACCAGCTGATGTGCCTATACATGTCAGCAGTGTTGTACACTAATAAATCCAAGAAATTACAATTGAAATTGATGGTAGAAAGTTGTTGTGTATTGTTGTTGTGATTTGTCAATAAAGTATGGATTTTGAATAGATATTTTACTTTTAGTGTTGTGTTTAAATTTATTGGATTTCAAACCTGGGTCATTTTAAGTGAACCAGTCAGTCACAGAAGGATTTTCACATATTAGTTAGGCAATAGAAAAATTCAACTGTTACAAGTGTAGTGAATTTGTTGATGATTTTGCATGCCTCAATCCTTAACACTGAGTAAAGGATGTTTAGTGATACCAGAGTGAAATGACATAATTTAGGAAACTGGTAGGTTGTTTACTGTACATTTAGATAATATCAGTACAAATGTATGTATGAATGCATAGATGATCAATGAAAGGAAATATATACTGACACCTACCTATCATAAAATTATGTAAAATGTGTACATATAGCTACACACACACAAACATATATATATATAATGATTGCAAACACAACAGTTAAGTATAAGCACTTTCATCTTTAAATTTTCATACCCTTAACAGCAGTAAACATCTGAAGATTTTGAAATGAAAGCACTTCAGGTTAATTCCTGTGTTTGTAATCATTTTTACTACATTAAGGTCCAGGAAGTGAAAAAAAGAAAACATGTTTTCCTTATTCTTATATACATAATGGGGAAAAAATCTATTAATTGTATGTTACAGTCAGTATACCCATGTATTGAAGTAATCATCAAGAAATTTGAACAGTACTTACATTCTCAGTTGCTATGTGAAGGATCCCTAGTTGGAACGGAATAGACTTATACCCAACCTCTGTAATCAACACATTTGCAACAGACCAGAATATCTTATGTATTGTAGATTCCTTTGGCTATAAATACATGTATACTCCCGGTTGGTGACCTTCCCTAAATGGCCTTCACACACAGCTGAGAAGTACAATCAGCCTCATACATTAATAAGTGAAAACCCCCAATGTTAAATATATATACCTGTAGTCCTGACAGTACATTCTGTGAATACTGATACTCGTTGATCATTAATTTTACTTTAGTCCAGGGACAGTTAACAGATTAGCACACTACGAGTCCAGTGTGAGTTCCCACTCCGGACTTATAGACAGGTTCTGTGTACATACAATGTATAAACCTCCCTTTACAATCAATATAAAGCATACTGTATAAAGCATGTACAGGTCAGTCACCGTTCCATGTAGGGGTAGTGAGGGGTCAGGCCACTGATCGCTGGAAACAAGGCAGTAATGTGGAAATCAATGAATCTTCTATAACTGTGTAAACTCCCACCTAATTGCCTGTGTCAACAACCTGTGATCAACCCAGATCTGGACTTAAGTAACAACCCCTCTCTAAAGCCTTACCAGTAGTATCTACTAGTGTATATTTACAGTCTACGTAATTTATTTCAATAAACAATGTAAAGATTGGCCTTTTTCTGGCATGTACGTCGTAAGAACTTTCATTTTGACAGAAAAACAAGAGATTTTGATGTTTTTCAGTTTGTTTTAAAATCCTAAATGTTGAATTGCATTTTTTTACTTTTTTAATTTTCTTTTCTTCATCTTTTCTCTCTAAAAATTATGATTTCATGAAAAACCTGAAAATGTTATTTAATACGATCAAGCATTCAGAAATTAGAAAAGGTAAAGAAACAAGAGACCCATGAGCCTCAACAGTCATCTGACTAAAAAAACCCTATAAATATCATATAACAGTTATATATAGTATCAGTGGGAACCCTAATTAAACAATTAGAACAGTTTGAGATTATATGTATGTAGCTGTCAAGGATTTTCATTTCAGTTTCTTAACCTTTATTATCACACAACTTCAGCTCAATGGCACCAGTGGAATAGGAGATGATTTTTTTTCAAAATGTGTTTTTAATGAAAACCTCCTAAAAATAACAACAATTTGTCACGATTAGGACCAACTCATAATTCATTGTAACTTGAAATAAGTTCAAAATGGCAGCCATGTTGGATTATTGACCTGTCTAACATATCAGAACACTTGTTCTGCACCATTTCATGATCAATCAGGGCAAAGAAACTGGAGGAGAAATAGGTATTCTTCAAGAAAACTATCATTGTGCAATCATGTAACAAAATGGCCACCATGGGTGCCATGTTGAGTCTTTGATAAGGTCGAAAAATAAGAACAATTTGTTTTTAGTCAACACCCATCCCTTAACATCTCCATTCATTTAGTTGAACTTCCTTGAGAAGTTTAAAATGTGGTTTTCAAGATGGTGGCCATGGTGGTTAAATATGATTTTAGACCAACCCAAAAACATAACAGTTATTCAAGAATCTGTATTGGCATTTCTCAACTGAATCCCAACAAAGAAACTGAAGAATTACTATGGCTAAAGGTCATCCTTACCAAAAAACAGTTCAAATTTTTAGAAACTTGAAAATGTTTGTAAGACATCCATGCCATAAAGTTTGACCAAAATCCATGAAAGAATCAAGTTGCTCAGTGTTTAAATTGAATCAGTTGATCATTTTATACATAACAAGGGTAAACCATGGCCTTCATTATAAATTATATCAGACCCCTGAAACACAACAATGTCCAAATTATACTGAAGATCAACCTTCGTATAATGATTTGACTAAGATCTGTCAAAGAATGAAGTTGCTAAGTGCTTTCATGGAATTGAAATAGGACAGGATGCAACAACAGAACGATATGCACCCCCCTCCCCCTCCATCTCCCATTTTATGACGGGGCGTAAAAAAGGAACATGACACTATTCATTTCGTTAAAATGTGAAGTCACAAGACATAAGACCTGTTGTCATGGCACTAGTAAAGTATAGTCACATTGGATGTGATATCATAACACTAGTTATGTGTAGTGAAGACTTAAATGATGTGACACGAAGTTAAATGTGTTGTCACAACATCATGATACTTGTAAAGTGATTACACATGGCAACAGAAAAGACATCACTACACTTGTTATATAAAGTCAAAGGACAACAGACATGAGGTCATGACACTTGTAATGTGAAGTCACAAGACGACTGACATGAGGTCTTGATAAAGGTAATGTGAAGCCACTGGAAAAGACATGACATCACTACACTGGCAATGTAAGTCACAAGACGACAGACATGACATCATGACATGTGTAATGTCAAATCACAAGAAAACATGCATTATATCATGTCACAGTTAATGTGAAGTCACAAGACAACAGACATGACGTCAAGGCACTTGTTATGTGAAGTCACAAGACGACAGACATGACATCATGACATGTGTAATGTCAAATCACAAGAAAACATGCATTATATCATGTCACAGTTAATGTGAAGTCACAAGACGACAGACATGACGTCAAGGCACTTGTAATGTGAAGTCACAAGACGACAGACATGACGTCAAGGCACTTGTAATGTGATGTCACAGGACAACAGACAAGAGATCATGACACTAATGAAGTCTAGTTATAATATCCATGATATCACAACAATGTACAGTGACAAGACAACTGATGTGACATCATGACATTGTGTTTAGTCACAACATACACATCATGACATCATATCAAAAGGACATCACATATGATCATTAAACTGTGAACATAGTAGAATTGATTTGACAATGTAGCCACAGAAAATATTTTTGGTAATTGTATAAAGTAAAAGGGATGTTCTATTTTTCATTTCCTTAAAATTTTGAAACTTGAAAAGTTTGATTTTCAGCTTCAAAGTTTAATAAAGGTATTTAACATCCATAATTGTTTAAATGTTGTATCAAAATGAAATGGAAACTTCCCTAATGGATAAAAAAAAAGCCCTGAATACAACCAGGATTCCTGATCAAACTAATCTGAAATAACCCAAGACCAATTATTACATTACATTACATGATAAGTAAGAAAGGATACGGTATACTGTCATATATATTTCTATCAAGCAATAGACCTTATAGCTTGCGGGACATGACATCAAATAGGTAAGAATAGGTAAGAAGATGGCCAAATTACGATCGGAACATTGCTATTGTGGTGAAGGTAATTTTGTAGGAGTTGATGACAGTCCTTGCTAAATTGGCTCATGTCAACTTGCCCTTAGGTAATAGGAGACAGTCTGTGACAATAGTTACAGTGGTACACAATACAACTTATCGAAACAGATGCGTTTTCACCCTATTATAGTCTGACTATGTACTATGCCTGCCTTATATCATTTTCTTGTTCTATACACATTAATGTATCATATTTTTGCATTGTGAATTATTATTTCATGTTGATTTTTGATACTCATATCAATTGTATCTCCTTTCTGCATTTTCACTTTTTTAAAAATTAATTTTAATCAATATTGATGATGGACAGCATATAACAGTTTATCAAATCTGTGAGTGATATCTCTGAATGATATTTTCTAAAAATTCAATTCAATATATATATAAATTATAACTGCTTTTGACATTCTAAATTAGAAATTCAAAATATTTTTTTTTTCATTTAATGTAAGATAAATGGTTTTTCTGAATTTAAAATGAAAGGTAGTTCAATTAAATTAGAACCAAATTCTCAATGAAATACAGTAAAAACAATATGAAAATTTATAGCATGTATTTTTCTCATCCCTGGTACATAAGATTCAGTTTTTCCTCCAATGGCATATAGTTTCAAATACGTAAATATATAATTATATTTCAGCCTTCACCTGTATGCCACAGGTGGCAAAACTTAAAAGTACATTGTAAGGTTTAAGCCCACCACTATAAATTGTTGCCGGATCAAATTACTTACTGTAACTACTAATTACCATCTCATTGAATGTGCCATCAAATGATTTACCCTTGGAGTCGGTAAAGGACGTTTCGTTAAATAAGTTATTATGATGTGCGTAATTTATAGTTACCGAGTGCAGCAGCCGACTTTCTCCAGGTAACACCAACTCTCCTTGCACTACTTCATTACATCTCATTTTAAAGTAGTACCATTTTGAAATATTTGAAAGATTACAAAGACTTTCGGTTTACATTCGATAAAGTGAAAACTTATCTTTCTTCCGTGCGTGAAAGTGGCAGAGTATGTGACTCACCATGTCCGATCTCTCTGCCACTATGCTGGGTTACGTAAGGATATACTAAGTGTACTCCTATTGATATACATTTGTTGTGACTTCATACTATTGTATGATAAATGCTTAATTGTATTAAACATTTGGGCACCATTACCTTAACATGATACCTAGAAGTGACGTGTTTGTTCATGAGCCTACATCGATATCCCTTTTCACGTTGGTGCGTACAATTTTTGGGAAGAATCAACAGCCCGTTACTAATAAAACGAAACGATATTTATACATTTCTCCCTTTCTTATATTCTCGAGTGATTTGTATTTAGGGTTTACAGCATTTGCTTTTATAAATTCATACTAGAAAATCATCGCAAATTTATTATTTATAAGCACACTATTATATAATATAAACTTTATTTGTTTTACAACAATTGCGAAACAAGTTATATTATAATCACTCTTGTTGGCCCATGTACTGTGGGAGAAAATCATCGCAAATTTATTATTTATAAGCACACTATTATTGCCTCGACTATTTAATAACGGACCGGTTAGAATATTCAAAGTCCGTAATTTATTCGATATACTTATAACTACAAGTCTAGAGATTTTTATTTCCACGTTGAGAGTTCCTTGTGGTACTTTTTTCCACGATGCAACGTTAACATAGTGGTATTGTATATATTGCAGATTATTTGGTACGAAAGGGACTTATTCTCACCTTGATTTTTTCTTTGATATATGTCGACAGCTACATGAGAGACCAAACTTAATTAGGTATCCTCACTGAAGTCCGTGGTATTTATACAATACATAACTGTTTAAATAAACTATTTTGTTCGTCTTAACAAACAAATTTATTTACGAAAGTTCATAAAATTGCGTTTAATATCCATTGGCATTATATATCATATTTCCCCGCGGAGTTTTTTGGCGTAGCGTCACGGCATGTAAACCGAGATGAAAAGACCTGACAAACTGATGAAGTTTCGATAGTCTGAATTTTCGATAAATATCGCAGGATTATAAAATACATGGTCAATGTTTTCAAAGATAAGCTTGCATTATATGGCTCGGGACAGAAAGACAAACGTAACCCGACAAAGGATCGCTACGTTCTGTCTTTCATCTCGCAATATTTTACGTCCCTGCCAATATACAGCTTATATTTTAAAATCCTGACCATTTCTTGAACGTACCAGGGACGTATAATACATGATATTATACGTCCCTGAACGTACCAAGTCTCTCAAAACATCGCAGCTTGTTAGACAGTCTTCTATTTGTTTATGAGCGTTCCTGTATGCACGGTTACCGTATTAAGTAAAAGTATCTGCATGAAAATGTATTGTATTGATGAATAAATGAAAAATACATATTCGAATCATAATATATGCGTAGGAAATATGGCCTTTGTATAGCAAAAGAGTTCATGTCCTAACTTTTTATCACTTTTCAGCTGTTCATTTTTCATTAAATAATCTCGTGACGTGTTTGTTGGTCAGCTGATACAGGAAATCTTGAAGCTTTCGGACGCGTAGTTCAGCGCTGGCTAGTAAAAACGACAGGACACGTGAAAGGAGTACCACATGTATCACACGTTAAAGGGACACAACATGTATCACACAACATGTATCACACGTTAAAGGGACACCACATGTATCACACGTTAAAGGGACACCACATGTATCACACGTTATAGGGACACCACATGTATCACACGTTAAAGGGACACCACATGTATCACACGTTAAAGGGGTACCACATGTATCACGTTAAAGGGACCCCACATGTATCACACGTTAAAGGGACACCACATGTATCACACGTTAAAGGGACCCCACATGTATCACACGTTATGGGGTACCACATGTATCACACGTTAAAGGGACACCACATGTATGACACGTTATAGGAGTACCACATGTATCAACGTTAAAGGGACACCACATGTATCACACGTTAAATGGACACCTCATGTATCACACGTTATAGGGGTACCACATGTATCACACGTTAAAGGGGTAACACACCTATCACACGTTATAGGGACACCACATGTATCACATGTTAAAGGGACACCACATGTATCACACGTTATAGGGACACCACATGTATCACACGTTAAAGGGGTACCACATGTATCACACGTTAAAGGGACACCACATGTATTACACGTTATATGGACACCACATGTATCGCACGTTAAAGGGTACCACATTATCACATGTGAAAGGGACACCACATGTTTCACACGTTAAAGGGACACCACATGTATCACACGTTAAAGGGACCCCACATGTATCACACGTTATGGGGTACCACATGTATCACACGTTAAAGGGACACCACATGTATCACACATTATAGGAGTACCACGTGTATCAACGTTAAAGGGACACCACATGTATCACACGTTAAAGGGACACCTCATGTATCACACGTTATAGGGGTACCACATGTATCACATTTTAAAGGGGTAACACACCTATCACACGTTAAAGGGACACCACATGTATCACACGTTATAGGGACACCACATGTATCACATGTTAAAGGGACACAACATGTATCACACGTTAAAGGGGTAACACATCTATCACACGTTAAAGGGACACCACATGTATCACACGTTAAAGGGACACCACATGTATCACACGTTAAAGGGACACTACGTGTATCACACGTTAAAGGGACACCTCATGTATCACACGTTATAAGGACACCACATGTATCACACGTTAAATGGACACCACATGTATCACACGTTATAGGGACACCACATGTATCACACGTTATAGGGACACCACATGTATCACACGTTAAAGGGACACCACATGTATCACACGTTAAAGGGACCCCACATGTATCACACGTTAAAGGGACACCTCATGTATCACACGTTATAGGGACACCAAATGTATCACACGTTAAAGGGACACCACATATATCACACGTTATAGGGACACCACATGTATCACACGTTATATGGACACCACATGTATCACACGTTAAAGGGTACCACATGTATCACACGTTATAGGGACACCACATGTATCACACGTTAAAGGGACACCACATGTATCACACGTTATAGGGACACCACATGTTTCACACGTTAAAGGGACACCACATGTATCACATGTTAAAGGGACACAACATGTATCACACGTTAAAGGGGTAACACATCTATCACACGTTAAAGGGGTACCACATGTATCACATTTTAAAGGGGTAACACACCTATCACACGTTATAGGGACACCACATGTATCACACGTTATAGGGACACCACATGTATCACATGTTAAAGGGACACAACATGTATCACACGTTAAAGGGGTAACACATCTATCACACGTTAAAGGGACACCTCATGTATCACACGTTAAAGGGACACCACATGTATCACACGTTAAAGGGACACTACGTGTATCACACGTTAAAGGGACACATGTATCACACGTTATAAGGACACCACATGTATCACACGTTAAATGGACACCACATGTATCACACGTTATAGGGACACCACATGTATCACACGTTATAGGGACACCACATGTATCATACGTTAAAGGGACACCTCATGTATCACACGTTATAGGGACACCAAATGTATCACACGTTAAAGGGACACCACATATATCACACGTTATAGGGACACCACATGTATCACACGTTATATGGACACCACATGTATCACACGTTAAAGGGTACCACATGTATCACACGTTATAGGGACACCACATGTATCACACGTTAAAGGGACACCACATGTATCACACGTTATAGGGACACCACATGTTTCACACGTTAAAGGGACACCACATGTATCACATGTTAAAGGGACACAACATGTATCACACGTTAAAGGGGTAACACATCTATCACACGTTAAAGGGACACCACATGTATCACACGTTATAGGAGTACCACATGTATCACAACGTTAAAGGGACACAACATGTATCACACGTTAAAGGGACACCTCATGTATCACATGTTAAAGGGACACAACATGTATCACACGTTAAAGGGGTAACACATCTATCACACGTTAAAGGGACACCACATGTATCACACGTTATAGGAGTACCACATGTATCACAACGTTAAAGGGACACAACATGTATCACACGTTAAAGGGACACCTCATGTATCACACGTTATAGAGGTACCACATGTATCACACGTTAAAGGGGTAACACACCTATCACACGTTAAAGGGACACCACATGTATCACACGTTATAGGGGTACCACATGTATCACACGTTAAAGGGACACCTCATGTATCACACGTTATAGGGGTACCACATGTATCACACGTTATAGGGACACCACATGTATCACACGTTAAAGGGGTACCACATGTATCACACGTTAAAGGGACACCACATGTATCACATGTTAAAGGGGTACCACATGTATCACACGTTAAAGGGACACCTCATGTATCACACGTTATAGGGGTACCACATGTATCACACGTTAAAGGGACACCACATGTATCACACATTAAATGGACACCACATGTATCACACGTTAAAGGAACACCACATATATCTCGCGTTCTAATGGCACCACATATACGACAACTCTATACACCCGGGAATGTTGAGGTGTTTGGTTGTCTTTATGAAAATTCTCTGTCGATAGCAAGTAAAGGTCTAAATCAAGCTTGATTCTTTGGTTAAAACAAAAACGGCGCTAGTTTGATAGTATTTACAATGAACTTGATCATACCTGTACATGACCAATAATATCACCACGCATTACGTGATTTCTGAGCTATACGTAATTAATAAAATAATCATGTTCTGTTTTACTGATTTCAAACTTTAGTAAAATATATTTCATTCCATCACCAGCGAAAGTTCTTAGCGCACTGAAGTAAGTACCATTCAAGGTGTCTTTTCATTTTGGATTGCCATTAAGGTTAAATGGAGAACCATAATATCAGTTTTTGATATGGAACTTTAGCAGAATGTTTAAAATTTCTATGACACTGTGTTTGAAATCTGGTTGTAACGTTTATGTTGAAGATTTGACAGAGGTGTTAATATGGCAACTGGACCGTCGGTAGCGGTTGTTGGCGGAGGGATATCTGGACTGGTGTGCGCTGTACGACTGACACAACTCGGGATACAGAATGTCACTGTGTTTGACACAGGTAAGAAAATATTCATAACTAAAACTGAAAATCGATGAAACGAGGGCATAATTTATACAAAAAACAGATTAACACATAGCCCCTTGAAGTGATGCTCTGTTCCTTTCCGAAGACATTTTTATCGTCTATTGTAACTGATCATATAGACTTTTTGATAGATTACATCTGACCTTCATGTAAGAATATTAGACTGTTGTGCCAAGTCACTTATGGGACGATCCGTTATCTGTTATTGCTGTCTTATCTTATATAGGAATGTTATATTTCATCCGCTCGAGGAGATAGGAACATGGATTTCGAAATTTTAGAATAATTTGATGTAGCTTATAGATACCGCACTTTTTTCACACCATTGGAATTGAAAAAAAAAAATCACGGACTTTTTGATTGAAAATTAAGAACACATATTGATATTGCAACAACCAAGCAAATGAATTACATAAAAAATCATTTATTGACTGTTATTTATATATATAAGTCATAAATAAAATGTACGAGTTCAATGAATTCGAGATTTGCGCTGTACTATGTATTTGTATCGGATCATTGAGAGGTATTGCCACAGTAGAGAAAACGAATTTTCCTTCTTTTCCTGAATGTAATCGGTTGTTTTAAGATATAGTTAACGGTAGATGTTGTAGATCCCTTCCGATCCGGATCAAGAGTTTACAGCTGTGAATCTTCAAATTTAATTGCTTCAGTGATAATCATTTATTCTGTTCAAATGTATTTTCAAGTTTTAGATCTTCTCGCAGTTTAATTTGTGTTAACCAAATCCAGGGATGTCTTTATCATACGCCCCTGAATAAATCAGATGATTTCTTCTTCTGTTGAACGTAATAATGTGTGAAATCATATAGGACAAAGAGTCAGACGATGAGAAATTAGCCCATGAAAGAGATGATGGCTTTAATTCACACCTGTCCAGGTAAACTACATGGGTTCTCAGTTTGGGTTTTACTGACGTGTCCTTCGAAATAATTGACCATATAATTAGATGTGATGCTTTTATTCAACAGATATTGTTGAACTGAATTGTGACACTCTGATTTTTATATCAGTCATTGAAGGTGGTTATTTTTTGTTTGTGATTTTGAACCTGAATATTTATGCTACCACGGGTTCAGATTCGAAATAAGTCGGACATGTTATGTACCGTACTATTACTGACTAGTAGGTGTGTAATATATATATGTAGGCTACAACAGATACCTATATAACCATGGCTGCACGGGTCTCCGAGTAAAACGATACATACTGAGTATGTATTAGTTATTTGATAAAATTACTCTTTCATGACTTGCCCCTTTCTAACTATGCGCTCAAAATCCATGCGGCTTGATAAACGCTAAGGGAACATAATCCAAGACATCCCTTAGATATAGCTGCATATGTGTCTTCGGTTGTTAACATTTGGTTGTAGAGTTTGGGAAGAAATTTGAACATTTATAAACAATAAAACTTCATTTTAGAGGATCTGTATTTCTTGTGTTAAGGCAAGCATGCAGCGGGAGGAAGATGTTCCAGTCGCCATGTCAACATTGACGGAAGACTCCATACGTTTGACCATTCTACTCAATATTTCACCGTGTCTGACAAACGCTTCTGTAACGTTGTGTCCTTCCTTCACTCACAGGGGGCAGTTAAGGTGTGGCAAGGTCGTCTTGGTCATTTAAAAGATGGCAATTTTTTTCCTATGAAGTCCCTAACACAAGCATTTGTAGGAGTTGACGGAATGTCTTCCATATCTAGCTGTTTGTCTTCCCGTGTTAATCTGAAACGTCCTGTTTGGATAGGAAAAGTGAGCTGGGAGGACGTATCCAGGAAGTGGAAAGTAGACAGATGTGGGTATTTTGATTATTTGGTAATAGCGCACAATGGAAAATGCGCTGATAGGTTAATGTCAGATGCAGGCGTTCCAAAAGTTCACCGTCTCCTTCAGGTTCGATTTACACCTCGACTTGACATTAAAGACAAACGCATGCAACTTTCTTCTCTTTGGATGTTAATGGCGGCCTTTCCGAAGTCGTTGTGTTTGTCGTATGAAGGAGCTCACGTAGAGGATCCGGACATATCATGGGTGGCAAATAATACAGCGAAACTTTCCCAAAATAAAATGTCCGTGAATGGAATTGAATGTTGGACTGTCTTCAGTACCAAGGAGTTTGGAAGTGCACACAAAGTTCCACAAGAAAATATTCCACCAAGAAAGGAAAAACAAGTAACAGATGAACTGCTTACTGCATTTGCTAGAGTAACAGGACTTGGGTCAAAGTTACCTCCCCCTAGATACACGAAGGTTCAGTTATGGGGAGCAGCCGTTCCTCTCAATACTCTCTACACAAAAGAGGAATGTGTGTTTGATGGCCAGCACAATGTCGGGATATGTGGGGACTGGCTGGTCAGTCCTTGTATACAAGGTGCTGCAGTTAGTGGACTTCGTCTTGCAGAATTCATCCAAAATCATTCTTCAGGTATGTAGAACCAGTTATTGTAATTTGTCTTACTGTAAATTATTTGATTTTTTTCTGATTTAAAGAAGAAAGTAAGTGAATGAATAAGAAAGGAAATATAAAAATTCTTTTGTGTGGCCTGATCTTCACATAAATCCATAAAACGAGCCAAAACTACAGCCGGCTGATTAAAACGGTTATATACCTGTTTAAAACGGTATAGAAAGATTACAATGAGAGAAATATACCTAACACATCATGTTTAGACGGGTAATATGGTTCCCGGACCTTGGACAAAACCACTGATGAAGTAACCAGTTTAAATGAAATTGGCGAACGTCTGATATGTATTGATGTATGGAATTGCGACAACCATATGCATAGTTCAATACGTATATGCCATGACCAGATATTGGGAATACTATTGGAAAATTCTCCTGATTAGAACCGAACGAAAAAATTGACTCGATGAACTCAATGGTGATAAATCGATAACTGGAAATCAAAGATGTTTCCTAAAACAGTGGGCATATCCGACAGTTATTCATGGTAATAACTTTGAATAGATATTGTTATAATGAGGAAATGTTTATGGATCGCTGTGTGTTTCACCGGTTGATGGCCCTAATGACATTTTATGTGTTGACGGGCCGTTAAGACTGTAATGATAATAATAATAATTTACGTTTACATGACTGTGAAAATCATACTTTGTTCGGTTATGCAGAAGATTTTTGTTGATTTTTTTTATGCCTACGCTATGTATTGCCGAGACATACACAGTGACGTGCCATAAGTTTTTCAAATTTTTGTTTTACTATATGTTCTTTCTAACATGTTTCAATGAATTTTCCTGACTTCATTCATGATCGTTTTTAATGAAATTTTGAACACTAATAGAGAATTATTTTCTGCTTCATATCATAATATTTCCACTGCCTTCCGTTGTGTACGACCAGGGAAATACTCATTTATCTTACATAATTTTCGGGATAGCCTTTTGACATCATTTTGGTAAGCGTATATAGGGAAATGGCGCCACATGGAAATTTGCATTCAATTGATATTATGTGAAGAAACTACAGATGTTATTGTACAAAATGGACAAATATTGTCAAAATCTATCCCTAAACGAAGTAAAAAATACATTAAAAAGTTAGAAATATTTAGAATTTATCGTAAAATGAAAAAATGAAACAAAAACAAAAAAAAACCCAACAACAACATGAAAGACTTTTGGCACGTCACTTGGATATCATTCCTTCATACTTTCATTTCTGCTCCTGTATCCTTTAACGTAATGTAACTTGGTATGTAAATCGTGAAGATACTGCCTTACTGCTGTGATAGGTTATAAACTATATAACCAGTGAAATCTGAACCTTCTACATGTCTATATTGTTCTGGACTTATTATAATATATTACGTGTTTATCTTGGTTGGGTAAATTGTGCTGCTGTAATTTAACCATCATTATACCAAATCGTATTTTCAGTTTTTAACGTAGATTCTGCCGGTAGTACTGCAATTTTATTCCAGATTCTTTACCATTGAATCTTCAGGCGGATCTTCGAACTTTATTTCAGTTTTTATACCTGAATCTATTAGGTTTTATTCCATACTCTTTGCCTTAAGTTCTGCTGACAGTGTTCCAGTTTATTCAATTACCCTTACTACATGTATGTGTGTTGCGTACATACCTCCAGTTTTATTCGTATCCTTTATTCTAGATTATGAAGCAAATCCGTTTATGTTTGAAACATTTTGTTACATTGTACAACATTTGTTTTATAACATATATACCCATATCAGTTAATATGTTTAAGTAAACTGACCGACACGGTCATCAACACTTTTATTAACTTCGATTATAATTTCAAACTGTTCAAATAATCATCAAAATGAATTGTTGGATGCAGAACAAAATTGCCTATACGTATATCAGCACTTCTACTTCTTAAATAATTTGAATCCTCTGGTAATAATGTAATGTCACATTATCAAATATATAAGTGCGTGTTAGAATTCTCTCCCCTGGTAGAGAAGGTTACACACAATAGTTGTGATGTCTCGCTTTTCAGTGTTTCTTTACGTTCAACATGAAATGGTTTAATCGTGGATAAATATACTGATAACGTTTCTCTTTTACAGGTACTGATAGGACTGGTACAAATTTACAGCCAGAATTTACAGCAGTAGATGGTCCTGTAATTGGCTCGTTCCCGACAGATTCTTCCATCATATTTAAACCAAAGGCGACTTAAAGGAGTCAAGTGGCGTTTCATTATGTTATTGTGTTCATTTTCGCGAAAGGGACTCTTCAGCTATCTATTTAACATGAAATGCATCCTCAATGGAGAACTTTTTTCAGATTTCCTTATATACAGTTTTTGTGTTTAAAGTGTTTCGATATATTTTCTGTGACCACACAAACGTTGATGTCTCTCTGCTGAACGTAGTACTGGATATTTTACATATTGGATATTATGTCAAGAAGAAAGTCTACGCCTTTCAATCATTACCTCAATGTAGCATTTCTGATTATTATTTCCTATCTTTTAAAATACCGTTTAACAAGGTATTGTTGAAGCTGTTTTCTTCATCTCCGTCAAAATAGTTTATATTTTAAGTCACCGACCATGTGTTCTCTATGCATTGTTATTACAGATTATTATGCAGCGAATTAAAAAATATGTAAAAACAAAGAACAAAAATCTTGTAATTTTTATATGATATTAAGGGACATATAGTATGTATACTGATATATTTCACTACATTAATACATTAATGCATCTACCTTATTCAGTCTTAATAACGAAATATAATAGGTTAAGGTTGTGCGTTTAATTTAAAGTTACATCACATAATTCTTGTACAGATTAACGAAGGAAGTTTAAGCAATATCAACGACTTAAAAAATCTGCAGCGCTAATTAGATACATAGTTTTCTATGTTTTCAGGACAGTAGCGTTCATTTTTAAGGTTCATCTTTTACTGGACGGAATAGATTACAACTTTGTTGAAGAATTGTAACATTGTTTTCATGTCCAATCAACAAAGTGGCGAACTAACAAATCTCGTTGGTGTCCTCAGCCACCATTTTCACGAGTCGATGACCTGTTGTTCTATCGATTCGCTAGAATTGGTAAACAATAGATGTATAGTAGAACTACTTACAAAGAACAAGGAAGTGCTCACAGTCGGGTAGACCATATATTGCCTCCACTGAGACTGAAAGTTTTTTGTTATTATTATCACTGGACTTTGTTCCAAGTTTTATGAGATGCTCCATAGCAATCTGTGATTATAGACATCTCGAACGATTTGAAATATTTAAGGAAGACTTAGTTGATGTATTAAATGGATTGTCTGAATGTTAAAACCACAATTTCAGTTAATACTTATGAAAAAATGAACAGTTATAAAGTAATGATCATACATCGTTGTACCGCCAATATTTCAAAACCCTATAAAAAAAGCCTATTCCTCCTATAAATGATTGAATTTTGCCCAAAATTGGTCTGAAACATCCTTTACTGAATCAAATCATTTTTTGTTTAAACAGTGGGTCTTGACCCCCTATGACTTGACTGGAAGGGCGGGTCACAATTGGGGAAATGGAAGTTCTTTAAAATTCATTAACTTATTGAATATTGTCTTTTCGTCATTAAGTTATGGGCACTTAATAAAGTGTAAGCGATGCACCTGATCTTCATGAGACCGGGAAAGAGAACCTAATAAGGGAGATATATAGCAATGTTTTAAATGTTTATCATAATATACACTAAGGTCGAAAGTCAGTACTAGTACACATCACATTGGTCATTTGTCTGATGCAAGTGGCCGCATAGTCATCGAAACATCACTGGTTTTGTTATAAGATCTTTTTATTCTATTGACATTACCAACATGGGTGGTCGGGGGGGGGTCGGGTGGCGCAGTGTTAACGCACTCGCCTTTCACCTAGCCGTCCGGGGTTCGATTCCCAGAATGGATGTGAAAAGGTATGGGGTCACCTGCCTTACCACGTGGGTTTTTCCCATGTTCTCTGGTTTCCTCCCACAATAAGACTCCTCGCACGCTTACATCCGGGCCAACAAGAGTGATTAGTATAAGCTGACATAACTTGTTTCGCAATTGTTGTAAAATAAATAAAGTTTATATTTAACATGAAAATATATCTCGAAATATACCTATAAATGGTTTGATTTTTTATTGTTCTTCTTATCAATACTTTTGTTTATTAATTGTAAAATGTCTTTGCAATATTTGACACCTTTTGTTAAAACTTATTATTTTTAAACAACTGCTGAACAAGATATACCAACATATATTTGTCATTCTTGTTGAATTGGATGAAGTGTGGAAACCGAGGAAAACCTACGTGGTCGGGCAGGTGACCAAATACATATATGTATGTATTTATTTTGATTGGATATAATTTTCTTGTTTTGTACAATGTGACCTTTCATTGTATTGTTATTGTTGTACTTATGAGCCTTAAGGCTCACAGTGAATTCTCAATAAATAATAAACTTTCGGTTTGGTTAATCGAGTCGCCGCAGACCGGTATGTGAAAGGCGAATGGGTCACCACTGCATCACCCTGTCACCCTCTAACACACTTCTGTTGTAACCTTTACCGTTGTCTATTGAAATATTTCCTTACTATCTGTTGATGCTTGCTATTTATAGCACGGGGAATGTTTACTTTCACTTTTTAATGCTTATTAAATATCCATTAACTCTAAACAAATACAAAAATAAATGAAAGCATCCATTAAGAAAACGTGAAATATACACAACCTAAGTGGTTATCCAATTTGTGTAGGCGGGGTGATTTAAAAATTTTTCTTTTAAAAACATTCAGTTTCAAGTTGAATCTCTTATTTTTACGTGCCATTGGTCAATTTTAATGTCAAACATTAAATTCCTATACATGTATTTAGGAAATGGGTCACAAAGCTTTATGTACATTTATAAATAATGAGAATTTAAAAATGCATGTGTTGAAATCGAAGTTTCGTTAGGGAATACTCTGGATCAGTTAGCACCCTCTGACAATCGCTTTATTTAAAACAATATCTTATTACTGTTATATGGATGTGTTCTAATACAAATACAGGACATGATTTTGTCAAAAAACTAGAACCTTATACTAATTCTGCTCCTCTAACACATGGAACATCAAGAGGGAATGGCCAACACTGCTGTGTTTTGACATTTGTGGCCGTATATTGTGATTATACTGTTACAATTTAGTTTTACTGTCGACGCGGAGGAATCACAAAAGATACCTGCGACAGTGTAATCATGATATACTGGTGTGGAGATCTGTGATATAGGTTCCACTTCCTTTTGCGACACAGTTTACAGGATTTCAAAATTTCCTTGAAAGACTTTACTAATCTGAAGAAATAGCATATTTTTAACCCCGACGAAGAAAAGAAACATATATAAGGAATTCTAAAGGTCCATCATGAAATCTGTATGTGTAGTTTAGTTATATCTCTGTTCTCTTATCTCAACGATAATACATCAGCCATATTCTGTCTAGAAAGTCAACTATACCTATAATAGGATGTTCCTGCAGTGTCCAATTACATGACATACTAACGCTGATTTTTCAGGTGCTGTTCAGAAAAAAGGTAATTCACGAAAGCCCCTGTGTCATCGGAGAGAATAGATTCACAATGAAAGATATTATAACATTTCACAAATATATGAATATTGATATTAAAGGAAACAACCAAAGAAAACAAACATAACATATAATTTATAGCAATCAGTAATTATCATTATTATCAGAGATGTATATATCGGTGATCTGGCACTCTTATTCCACACTGCAAAATCTACTTGTCGATGTCTCTCTTTTGCTTGTCAATGGTGTCTTGTAAACTTTTCATACACAACTGCTGTTGTTGAATTTTTGAAATGAGCATTTTCCTATTCATGTCTGTATGCTTATAACTACTGTGAATAAGATCCTTGTTTGCATGTTCAGATTTTTCCACAAGACGCTGTTTTCTGGCCCGTAAACATCTTCGATAGGAAGCACAACTATTACATCTACGTCCTTCCACTAACATTGCACAATTTACTGTCCTGATGGAAGAATTATATGTTAGATTACCTAACTCGGCACAGAAGTCACCTTCTCGGTAAGCATGAATTTCAGAAGATTTACCTGCCGTTAACGCACAACCAATTGAAACCAAATCCTGAAACTCTTCATCCGGGTTCCCTAAACAAACAACAAATTTGTTCAACCTATTTAACAGCTGTTGTACTTTCGTGTATGAATCGAACACTTCTGGAAGGTCATTCCACAAATAATGATCCTGAGCCAGTTTTTTTCTATGCACATGTATAGTGGCCTTGTACGTTCTGTCAATACTGATTGAAAGTTTAATGGTTGTCATTCCCCCAGCCTTGTAAAGTTCCAAAATTTCTATGTTATCCTCTCTTAACACTGGCACATATGGAGAACACAGTTTAAACTGCATGTCTTCCTGAAGTCTTTCAAATTTGGGAAGTTCTTGTGGGTGCTCATCAGGGTTGAAGGCAGCAGATACTTCAGGCACACGATATGACACATAATCATGATCAAAGTTAGAGAAAGATGATGAGATGTTACATGGTGTAGATGTATAACTATGGTCAGATCTGACGTCCACGTTGATGGGTAATGATGTGGTGGTATCTTTGTGCTCAAGACTCACGTTGACAGGTGATGGCATGCAAGTATAACTATGGTCAAGGTTGACATCGCCAGTTGCCGTGCAGGTTTCACTGTGATCAGGAGGTGACATGCAGGTATCACCTTGGTCTAGAACAACATTGACAGGAAGTGAGACAGGAAGTGATACAACGTTGACAGGAAGTGATACATCATTATGATCTGGATCATTGTTGACAGCTGATGACAATCCGTATTTCCTTTTTCTTGAATACTTCTTTATTGCGCCCAAAAACTTTCTTTTCTTCAGTTTTGGCATCCTGGAAAAATAATAATGGTGTTTAACAGAAAATAAATTGCATTATAGAAACCTACATACCAGCAAAAGCAGAAAGACATCTAAGAACTTTCCAATAACAAAAGATCTATATATATCTGATTTAGTTATCGGCTAGAAATACTGGTATTTTTTCAAATACATGTATATGCTCCTGCTTTATGGAAAATCTATCTACGCCTATCAACAATCTCATGATAACCATATTGAAATAACAAGCATATAGTGTATATTCAGTATTCTACACAAACTTTTAAACCTGGTAGACCAAAAAAAAGGAACAATGCAGGGTTTTCCATAAGAGCCGGTCGCCAGCCAATTTCACCGGCTACTTTGATAATTTGGCTGCCTACACCAATCCAGTTCCTACACATACACGGCAGGCCACCCTTACCTCGCCGCACTGCGGCTCGGGTCGGCTTGCTTCACCAGCCTCCTACTTTCACTACACAGCTTACTACTAACAAAATTATGGAAAACCCTGCAATGCAAAACTAGGGACCACGGGGAACCTACATCTGAAAGTTTGGAAAGATTCACCAAGTACTTGTTGCTAAGTAGTGATAAGAATTGTTTAGACTGACAACAGACCACAGACAAAGGGCAATTTAAAATTGCCCTTCACCTGCAGATTATTTAATATCCCACCATCTGATGATGGTTGGCTGAAAATCAGGTTGACCTGCATTAAGTGAAGGGAACACTAATATTGCTGCCCAGTATTAAACCAAACCATATCCCCTACCAACCTCTACAAATACCACTGGTGCCCTTATACTGTTGTATTATTATTATAAGGAAGTATAAGAAAACTTCAATCACAATTTTTTCACTAAAAAGAAGTTATTTCCCAAACCTATGATGCTTAAAATTAAATTCATAGGATTTACACACACCCCCACCCCATCCACTTTCCTAACATATTGCACTGAAACGAAATGTGACGGACAAACCCAAATTAATATCCTCTGTATCAGTGAAGCGGGGATAAAAAGGAGGGTTCACTCTGTAACGTCGATGTTCAGCTCATAGTACAATTGAATATTCTAAAATTATCTAGTTAGTGTTACGCAGTTAAAAAACTTTAACCGAGAAAAGAAAGCTGAAGATTGTGACTTCACTGACTGTGATGTTAAAGTTGGACAATGACATGCATCATGAATTGAAAATGACTGTATCTGTTTGATTTTACCCTCTATAGTTTCCCTTTAAAACTATGAAAATGTAATTCTTCTGAGGAAATCACTAAATATGATAGGAGTTATCAAAATTGATTTCCAATTCATGTGTGATTTTATGAAACTTCTCTCAAAGGTTGAATTTCTGCTTGCCATGGTTTGGAAATATCAAAACTTTTAGACTTACTTCATTAAATGCCACAAGGAAATGAACACAGTTAAAATACACTTGTTTGCAATATTGTGGACCACTGGCAATGAATGTGTTAATATCCTCGTATCTTTTATCCACCCTCCACGTAAACTACCTATTTTCTGTTGTAAAATAATGAACTTTCCATGTTTGATCGACTTGATATTGATAGGGTTTCTGCAAAAGATATCAATAAAATTAAAACAATAATTTGATTAAAATTCAATATACTAGTTAAAACACAGTTGTTTGCATTATTGTGGACCACTGGCAATAAATGTGTTGATATCCTTGCATCTTTTGAGTTCCCCTCCACGTAAACTACCTATATTCTGATGTAAAATAATAAACTTTCTATATATCTGATCGACCTGATATTAAAACGATTTCTGCAAAAAATACCAAAGAAAATAAAACAATAATCTGATTTAATCTATATATCCTAGTGAAAGCATTGTTGTTAGCATTATTGTGACCACCGAGCGTGTCTATATCAACTCGCACATGTGCTTTCCTCTCCACGTGACATTTTGTTTATCTTTGATAACGCACTTAAAATGTTCCTGCAATAACACAAAATACACACAAAGCTGTTTTATAACACCAGTCTAGTCAATAACCATATAACTTACGTTTCACTCTCGCCCTTTCCACCACGAAAATAGTCTTGAAAGTGCAGTGTATTTCTGATAACTGCGAAGCGTTCAAACAATATGGCGGCAACTTGGCGTCGAATGTTTACTTCCGGTACTATACCATTTTGGTAAGCCATAAGGAGAGTTTCCTTTATCTGTGTTATATATGTCTCTGTTATTATTAATATGAAGTAGGCACTGCCTAAAAACGAGCGCAAGATGGTCAAGAAAGTGCACATTTTGAACAGCCTGATCCATGTTTGCACTGAAGCGTTTTAATTTGTTGTATATTTCGTAAGATTTGAACAAAACATCGACACATACAAATGTACCAATATATCATCATCAGCAGCAGCAGCAACACATCTTCTTCTAAAAAACATTGCATCACCATGATCAGGCGGTGGTTTGGTGGCAGAGTTGTAACACATTTGTCTATCACCTAGCCATCCGGGGTTCGATTCCCCGAGGGGATAGAAAGGATACAGGTTTCCTCCCAAAGTTAGACCGCTCTCTTGCTTACAACAAGTGTAATTTTTATAAGTTGAAATAACAAAGTTTCCATATGTAAGTAAGTCATGCACATACAATCATACACCATGAAGGCAGACAAAGAAGAACAAAAGAAGGACGACAAGATAACGCAAAATTTGACATTTTCCCTTCGCGAAGCTGTTTAAATGAAAGACACACAATCATATATATATTAATATTACAACAAGTTAATTTCTATTTGTTATTTCTAATTGTTCCATACAAAATATTGAAATGGAGAACTTCTACTAGAGTATCAGCTTGATGCCTGTACAAAGTATTGAAATGGAGAACTTCTACTAGAGTACTAGCTTGATGCTTGTACAATGCTTTGAGTATCGGGTAATTACCTTGAATGGTTTAAGATAACTAGTTTGACAAAAATGTTTGTGGTTTAGCCTATGTTTCCATGGTAACAGAAAAGTATTTAAATGGCAATCTTCCCCATAGCAAAAGAGAATACTAGCTTATTAAGTGTAAACAGTTTTGAGCAATAACCTTGTCAGAGTATTGGCCAAGAAAAACTGAAATTTTGATGAGGGTCATCGGTTTCAATGGTAACAATAAATGTGTTAAAAAAGTCACTGACAACATATCTAGACTTTAAAAATTGATAAAAAAGATCTTCAAAATAAATGCATAAGAGTTTCCCTTTTAAAGTTACAGATATTGCAGACGGAGGACTTTCTATCATCTTTGCTCTAAAAATAGAAAGGATTTTGTCAAAATATGGAGAAAGACAATATATTATAGTTTTAGTCGGATTTGTAAAGGTGGTGCTTGTATGTTTAAAAAGTTTTCATTATTAAAATCACAATGTTCTCTCCTGCCGTTTTCTTTTCTCTTTGCTATTGAGAGTTTTCGTTCTGTTCATTAACAAATCATAAAATGCTTCAGAACCTTCGGTTTTTTAAGCAATTTTAACTTGTCCTGGTAGCAAAATGAGGGTAAAGTTATAAACCCTGATACTATTCTGTTATACATTGTTATTAAGAAAATCAATATAAATATATATGTTTAAATAAAATTCTTATGAAAGCCACAATATATTACATAAACTGCATTACTCTGGATAACCTCCCCACACACACACAAAAACAAAAAATCACCACTAATAGTTATTTTATCATTGTGCCTTATAAGTGTTTGCTGGAAATTTTCTAAACATTCAAATACATGATCATAATTAGTTATCGAAAGAAAAACCTCATCTTGCAAAATTAATATAGTTAGGAGATGGGCGAGTTTTTCGTCAAATCGGGACCTTACGTCACTTTCCGTGAACGAGAAACACATCGTCTCGTTCACGGAAAGAGACGAAAGGTCCCGAACATTAAGCTGGAAATCAGGTACATCGGAGCACAATCGAGCTCAAATCTTGAATGGTTAAAATTGCAATTTTTCAACGAGATATTTGTTATATACGTTTCAAACCATTAAAGTATATGTATGTTAAATCCATCTGAATTATTTAATACTTTTAGTATGATTTCATTTCTACATGAGAGCTTAAAACGATATTTTGTTGGTCAAAATAATTTTTAATCCATTCAACGGGTCGGCGGTTCTCATTGCGTGCTGCGGCAAGTGTATTGTGGGTAATGAAGTTCCTGCCACACTTCCGTTTAAAGTTGATCGTATGGACAGGTTGTTGGAGTTGAATTATCACACACACACACAATACCATAAAACGCTCGCTATAATTATATATTTATCATACAACTGGCACTGCCCTTGTCTGAATACACCTGCCACAAACAATTTTGCTGTATTTGGCAGTGACGGAAAACAGCTGTATTTTAGCATGTGCGACAGAATTCGACAGAATTACCATCTGAAGTTATTCAAATACTACGTTTAGAAATTTAAGCAGCTGTTGAAATGAACAAGTTGGTTTATGAAAACTCATAAAATTGTTGTTATATCCGATGAAGTTTGGAACTATGCTTTCGCGTGGAGCAATTATTTTGGCGTCCGTCATCAGGCAAATTTCAGTGTACCGTCGATGTCAGGTCAATAAATCTGTTTCAATAGTCTGATTTTCAGTCAATGTTTTAGGATAAATAGAATACATGGTCAGTGTCTTAAAATATAAGCTGTATGTTGGCGAGAGTGAAGGATGACAAAAGTGGCGAGCCCGTGTAAAAACGAAATCATCAAAAAAATGATGAATAATTTGAAATTGTGAAATTGAGAAAATAGGTTGTCTTCACGAAGTCCCAATAAAAACACAGATTTGATTGCAATTTAAAAAAAAATATATCCATGGTTCAAACCCTGAACAGTCTTCATATCAGTTTCAGGTACCAATGTTTGAAAAAAACTATAAAGAAAATACCAACATGGCAACATAATCAAATTTCAAACTCAAATTCCACAAAACTAGGGCCAAATATGAATAAAAGAAAGATTCACACGGATACGCCTTAGAAGTACAAAGGGAATAAGGTGTTCCGGAAGAGTAAACATCTTCTGCTTCATTGACGACACCCGCCATGTAAACCTTGGTCAATCCATGTAAGTAATGTCACGTTCTCAAATGAGAACAAGGTATACAACAATGAAACCAACAGGCAAACTAACGAGCATCAAATACATCCAGCTTCATATATTATAATTATATTTCTCTATGAGGTCATTATGGCGACCATAAAACTGTTTTTCATAAGTTTTATCAACCTGCATCTTTTGAACGCCTGTGTTACGAGTTTGTCAGTCAGTTGACGACTTGTTGCACGAAAATCGTGATACTGAGAACAAGCCTTTGAATATCGAATCAACTGTGACATGTAAATACCATAGGTTGGAAATGCAGGAATATTGCTAACCAGAAATGGAAAATTCACAGTAGGGAATTTGAAATCATCACGTTTATCATGCGTCTGGATGGAAAACTACCCATGTTAGTTTCGTTCTAGGAAAAGATTGAGATAAGCCGTTGATGTAGAAGAGTCTGTTGTATCTTTGATTTCCAGTTCTGGTGGATATATACGATGAACGTAGTCAATAAATTTCTTGTTTATGAAAGACACGACGTCATCAATATATCTGAAGGTAAAATTATAAGACTTTGCATGGCCCGATGACAGAACAGGCGGTATTTACCGACGCTACCGGATTGGCGGAACTGTACGTCACCATTTCGTGAAGATGTGGATGAGGACACCAACATGACTAGTGACAGTACCGCTTAGTTGATTAGTCATCTTGATTCTCTACAAAGTCGTAATCAGTCCCCCGAAGGTAATATATGTATCGTTGTGCTATTTCTAAATCATGAATAACATCTGACAATCTGATCAGGTTGAGATCCTCACACTGAACATTGTTTCTTCCCGTAAAACAAAAGCTGTAATATCAAATAATTGCTTAAATTTTTCACCAATTAACGTCAATTTCATAATGTTAAAATTTAATCTATAAATGTTTTACAGTCATCAATGGCATTCTAATTCGCTCTGAAACTGCACTGCACTACATATCGTAAGCTGAATGAAGTTTCATTAATTTGCACGGCGCTTACCACACTCCGGTTCTAGTTTACGACGAAGTGATTCTGAGAACTGTGCGTGTGCTGAAATATGAAATGAATAGAAATAAGAATCGAAAAATAGTATTTGTTTATCGCACAATGATAGAATCAAATCTGAATTATTTCATAATCAGCAGAAATTAGAAGATTAAAAAAAAATTGCACAATTTCGACAACTTATGCTTAATTAGAAAATATCGTATACTGTAAAAATAAAACTAAAGTTGCGTTACCTAAGGTCGTTCGATTATGCTTTATCATTGCTCTATGAATAGAAATCTTGTCCTGACATGCACTCGACAAAACCCCTTTCGATGTAAGGCAGTACAGCATTGTTACTGCCAATATTTGTAAGCCTGTAACATTTTTTTTTCAAAAATCTACCTGACTTAAACATGGTCAACACAATTATTTGAAAAAAAAGCAAATCTGAAATATAAACGACGAGAAAAAATCGTGACGAAATATATTTTCGTCCATTTGGTAATGGTACTTACAGTAAGGTACATACAGATATCTCGACATGGTGCCTGTTGAATGTGAAAACCAATATCTTTTCGTCCATTTGGTGATGGTACTTACAGTAAGGTACATACAGATATCTCGACATGGTGCCTGTTGTATGTGAAAACAAATATCTTTTCGTCCATTTGGTGATGGTACTTACAGTAAGGTACATACAGATATCTCGACATGGTGCCTGTTGAATGTGAAAACCAATATCTTTTCGTCCATTTGGTGATGGTACTTACAGCAAGGTACATACAGATATCTCGACATGGTGCCTGTTGTATGTGAAAACCAATATCTTTTCGTCCATTTGGTGATGGTACTTACAGTAAGGTACATACAGATATCTCGACATGGTGCCAGTTGAATGTGAAAACCAAAATCTTTTCGTCCATTTGGTGATGGTACTTACAGTAAGGTACATACAGATATCTCGACATGGTGCCTGTTGAATGTGAAAACCAAAATCGTTTCGTCCATTTGG